TGGCATCATTGATGGACTCAAGTGTGGCAGCGGTAGTGAGGTTGGCCCAGGATTGGACATTGTTTCGTTCTGCTGTGCATGGGATCGCTATGAGTCGGTTCCGACTTGATGACGCCTGACAACAACAACAACAAATAAGAATTATATGGATTACTAGGCCAGGAACAACAAATTGAAGAGAAATGGCATCACATTCACAGTCAGAAAGAGCATTTCAAGATCTGTCTTGAATGTGATAGGATAATAACCATCTTGGGGAAGATATGATGGAGAATCTCACTCAATATCATCAGCCAAATGAAGGCAAGGGGCCGGATGTGGAACAGATCTCCAATGTTCAAGCTGAAGCTGACAAAAACTCAAACAAGTCCATGAGAGCCAAAATATGACCTGAATTTAGAGACAATATCAACAATAGATTTGATGCATTAGATACTAATGACGGAAAGCCAGAGAGTTATGGGATGACATCAAGAACATCATATATGAAAGAAGCAAAAGGTCATCAAAAAAATAATAGCAAAGAAGGAAAAGATGAAAATGGATGTCAGAAGAGATGAAACTAGTTCTTGAAAGAATCTAATGCAACTGGAAGAAAAGATGGAGTAAAAGACCTGAACAGAAAATGTCAAAGGACAACTTAAAAAATCAAAATCAAGTATTATAATGAAATATGCAAAGACCTGGAATTAGAAAATCAAAAGGGAAGAACATACTCAGCATATCTCAAGCTGAAAGAACTAAAGAAAAAAATTCAAGCTTCCAATGACAATACTGAAGGATTCTATCACACTAGTATTATAAATACCAACAGTCACACATAGTGGACAGGTTTCAGCAGATCTTTCAGACTAAGACAGATAAAGAAGAAGAGATAAACTACTTCTGAATGTTTATCCATTGAAAACTATATGAGTTGCAGCTGGACATTGTCAGATATAGTGTCGGCAGGCTGATGAAAACATTATGAATAGCATTGAATATTGTCAGATATAGCGCTAGTAAATGAGCTCCAGGAGATTGGAAGGCACTCAAAATGTGACTTGAGAAGATATGTCTTCTGAAAGCAGAAATTGAAGAATTTTACCAACTCCTTCAATCTGAAATTGATCAAACATGCAATCAAAATGTATTGATATGTACTGGTGATTAGAATGCAAAAGTTGGAAACAAAGAAATGGTGTTGGATATCACATGATAGAATTTTGAAAGAATAGTAACTTATTCATTGGAAATTCTTATTTTAAACATCATAAAAGGTGACCATACAAAAGGACCTCACCATATGGCGTAACACAGAAATAAATTGACTACCATTTGTGGGAAGAGACAATGGAAAACCTCATTATCATCAGCCAAAGCAAGGTGAGGTGCAGACTGTGGAAAAGACCATCAAATGCTCATTTGCAAATTCAGGCTGAAGCTGAGAAAAATTAAAAAACATATCCCACCTGAATTTAGATATCATTTCAAGAAGAGATTTGATGAATTAGGCACTAAAGACCCAAAGACAATATCATACAGAAGAAAGCAAAAAGTCATTAAAAAGACAGGAAAGGATGTAAAGACCAAAAGGATGTCAGAAGAGACTCTGAAACTTACTTTCCAGTGTAGTCATGCTAAAGCAAATAGACAAAATGAGGAAGTGAAAGAGCTGAACAGTAAATTTCAAAGGGCAGGTCGAGAAGAGAAATATAAACAATAAATATAATTTATTAATAAGTTATAATAAAATAAAATGTGACAGTATGTTCTCGTCCCAGTAAGTTTCATGTTTGTAAACCATCTTTTTCTGTAATAAATTAATGTCTTCAGGTAACTTTTTCAGTCTCTCAGGGGAATACCCACACGCAAGGATTTTCCTTTCTGGGTAAGAACCTGAATTTATGTGTAAAATGAAACCAGTGCGACGGATTTAGTCAGATGGTGATTGTTGCTGGTAAGTGCTGTGAGTCGGTTCATAGCCACCCTGTATAGGGTTTCCGACGAGCAGCTGGTGGGCTGAACTGCCCACCTTGTGGTTATCTGTCAAGTACTTATCCTACAGTGTCACACCAGGACTCCAATAAGGTTATGAGAATATTTTAAAGTGCTTGGTACATAGCCTGGCACAGAGAGCTGAACGGACATTCGACCTAATAAAGGGCTTCCAGATTACTTTCCTGAAATCCCATGAAGTTGTGCCACCGTCCATCATTACTTTTCAAAGTAAGCTTGTCAAGTAAGGTCGTTTTGTTAAGCTACTGACTGCCAAGAACCTACTACCACCCCATCTTTTCTTCTCTAGGCCCCAGCACAGCTCCAGCCTGCAAGCTAGTCCGTGCCTCCCGACGTGGAAAAAGACCTAAGGCCCGCCCATTCAGAGCCAACGAGAGGCGGAGCCAGAGGCTTCCAGAAGACCTCAGCGGGCCCCGCGCTTTCACATCCCAACACAGTGCATTCTCCAGCTTTTGAGTCATCTGGGCCTAACCCAGGGAGATTCTCAGACTTCTGCGACAGAGTGAAGACACCCTGGAGAAAATCTATACACTGTCCGGCTTTCCCAGCTCCGCGCGCTGAGACCAGGGCAGCCAGCACCAGCAACTCTAACCTCTCCTGGAGGTGGAGTTTCCAGGGCGCGGCCCGCGGTGAGGCGGGGCCTGTGGCGGGGCGGGGCTGACAAAGCTCGAGGTCCCGAATCTGAAGCCTGGGTTGGCCCGAGGTGTGCCGGACGCGCGTATCAATATAAGCCTCCTGTTCCTTGAGTCCTTACGCGCGCGGCGCAGTTTACCAGGAGCCCTCATTGCCAGAACTTTCTTTCCCATCTGCCTATCGCTTTGATCGCCCCATTGCATGGAAAAGTTGGGACCCGTACATCAGGCAACTTCTAGGCGGCAACAGAGGAAATAGACTGTGGAGGTGGGGTCCTTTGCTCGCGCCGAAATTCAAAGGAATAAATAGTTCCGGCACCGGCCGTAATTGTAGGGCTAGTGTTGTTGCTATGGTGTAGCTCTTTTCTTAGCGCCCAAAGCTGGGCAAAGTTGACCTACGGGAGATTTCTGGGCGTCCTTAGACCAGGCTGTTTGAGGCAGCGACGAGGCGGGTGCGTGAGCACGGCTGATTAGGCCTTGCATTCCTGGCGGGAAGTAGGGGTGAGGGGGGTAAGCAGCAAGGAGGTGGTGCCAGGTAGGAATTAGGGTTATAAGGTTCCTGGTAGGATTGCTTATTTCTTTACTGCTCTGGAGTGGGATGGCTGTTAATAGAAAGGCCTGACTAGGCGAGATAGGAAGAGCGGAGCAAAATAAGATTCATCTCTTGTTGATCTCAGGGGACTAGTCGCTAGGCATATAGAGATGGACAGATGAAGAACCCACGGGAATTTACGTAATATTGGGTAGAACAGACAAGTATGATTTACTGTCAACTTTAAATGCAGCGAAGGAAAAAGAAGAATTAGAGGATGAATAGAAATGCAGTTTTATGTGGGCAGGCTAGAAAGAACCATTTAGCAAAGACACGAGTGCAGTAAGAGTGTGCCATGCCAGTATTGGTGTGGGTAGTGGGTAGGACATGGGCAAAGAAATGAGTTGTGAAAGAATCTATAGGCCAGCTAGGGTACGATAGAGGGAGAAGGTGGGCTTGAATACGGAGATAGCAGAAGTGCTAATGCTTTGGGTTCCAGGATGAAGGGTTTAATAAAAACTTCCAAGTTTAGTTAACTAGCATGATCTTTACATCAGAGGAAGTAGCGAGGCAAGTAACTGTTTATTTGCTTTTGGTTTATATTCTTATGTTAGTCTCACATTCTGTATGAGTCCAGATTTGTAGCCCACTTATATTTTGTTACTTCAGTTTTGTACAGAACTGGTTTGTGGCCGGTTTGATCCTAGCAGAGGTTTGCCAGTCCAAGGTATAAGCGAAAATGCATATAAAGTCAATCATTCTGGAGGGATTCAAATCCTATGCCCAGAGGACTGAAGTCAATGGCTTTGATCCCCTCTTCAATGCTATCACTGGTTTAAATGGTAGTGGAAAATCCAACATATTGGACTCGATCTGTTTTTTGCTGGGCATCTCCAACTTGTCTCAGGTAAAGTACAATTTTTTTTATTTTTGTGGCAGGGAAATCTTTTGAATTTAGAGATTGTTACAATTAATTCTCTTCACTGGGTTTTGCACTGTATTTGAATTATATTACACCTCGCTGCAACTTAAAACAAGTAGTGTTATTATCACTGCATTCTTTTTAGATGATAAACTACAAACGTGATGGTGTCTAAGAAATTTACTCGAGGTTCATACTTTATGGCACGCTGGAGCAACACTCAAACTCAGCAGTCTCAGTCTGAGTCTATTTCCCCCCTGAATTGTGATCCCCTTAAAGGACCCACTACTAATGGAGTGGGTAAATAATGAGATCTTAAAGTATAACACTGTAGGTTAAGTACTGGACTGCAAGATTGGTTTGAACCACAAGGTCGGCAGTTCAAACTCATGAGCTGCTTCTCGGAAACCCTATACAGAGTTGTTGTGAGTCAGATCTGACTCCACAGCACTTAACAACAACATCTTCCCTTAAGAAAGTTCTGATGGTGCAGTGGATAAAGCACTCCACTATACCCAGAAGGTGCATGGTTCAAATTTAGCAGCTGCTCCATGAGAGAAAAATATGGCAGTCTGCTTCCATAAAGATTTACAACCTTAGAAAATCCTTATGGGGCATTTTTCCTCAGTCCTATATGATCACTATGAGTTAGAATCTGTTCTATAGCAGATCAGACTATCTGGTCTGTTGTACATAGGTTTACTATCAGTTGGCATCTAACAGCAACAAGAAATCTTTCTGATGGACTTTTGTTAACAAAATCATGGAAATCAGGGTTGATGAGGTCCTGTAAAGCAAGGTGTCCAATGTAGACTCCCTTGCCAGGAGATGCAACTAGTTATCTTTGACTACTTAATAGATGCAACGTAGGTGGTTTTTCCAAAGCAAGAAGTACATATTTAGTGCTATTTAGTACAATGTGTGGTTTTTTAATTGATAACTTTTCTCCTATTTTAGGTTCGGGCTTCTAACTTACAAGATTTAGTTTACAAGAATGGGCAAGCTGGTATTACCAAAGCCTCAGTGTCAATCACCTTTGATAATTCTGACAAAAAGCAGAGTCCTTTAGGATTCGAAGTTCATGATGAAATTACAATAACAAGGCAGGTGAGTAACTGTTGACATTTGATGTCCAATTTAGTGATGTGGCTTTATCATTTTATAAAGAAAATTCATGACCAAAAATGGACACCTCAAATACTAATTCTTCAAGAATACCTTTCTTGTATCCAAATTTTAATCTTGCAAATTTTACCATTATATAAGAGGATGGAAGGGGATCTGAAGTTATCTGTTCATTATAAGTGCGCTCAGCCATACTTGAATCTTAAACCATAATTGAAGCTTCTTTTCTCTTTGCTAGAACACTTTTCAGTGCTTGGAGTCTTGCTATGAGTATGTGTGAAACATACTTTCCATCTCCTTGGTAACCAGCTTTCTGCAGTTTTTACTTGGAGCTACTCTTCCCTATTTTTTGAGCTTTAAAAGGAAAAGAAGTGAAATAATACAAACTAAAGAAAAGTGGTATGATAGCAATCATGGAAAACCTTTGAAAGAGTGATACCAAACTTCAGTATGGATTAAGAACAAGTCATGCCAGAGACCACATAATTCATACTTTTAATATACTGTTAAGTGCTGTCAAGTCAGTGCCGATTCATAGAGGCCCTGTATGGAGTTTCCAAGTAGCAGCTGGTACATTTGACCAATTGACATTGAAGTTAACAGTGCAGTGCTTATTCTACAGCATCACACCAGGACTCCCATACTTCTAGTATAACACTTGTCATTTACTGGGTAGGACTGTCTCGTCTAATACTTTTTGAGATCCTTAAAGGCAACATCTTACTCATTCTTCTTTCTATCAGTATATCCTGGTGCATTTAAGAATCCCCAGTTGGCAGCACCTACCCACTCACTTAAGGAGTTCTGGTAGCGTAGTGGTTACGAGTTGTGCTACTAACTTCAAGATCAGCAGTTTAAAACCACTCGTGGTTCTGTGGGAGTTCTGAAAACCCTTTATAGGGTTGCTGTGGGTCAGAACCAACAACAGCACTTAATAACACGCTACTCACTTGGAAGCACAGTGACTGCAGAATAGACACTGGACTAACTGCAGACCTCATCCTCACCAGTTTGAGCACATCAGCCTCTCCGTGGGACAAAGACAAGGAGGCTTTCTGCTCTGGCAGAGATTCCCAACCTCAGAAACCCTACACAGGTTTCAGAATGGACTCAGTGGCGCTTGACAACAGCCACCACGCATCCACTGCCACCCAGTCAGTTCAGACTTACAGCAATCCTGAATACAGTTTGCGAGGCTGCGTTTCTATTCCATCTGAATAGATCTAATTAAAGTAGACACTGTAGGCTAAACACTGAACTGCTAATCACAAGGTAGGTGGTTCAAACCTGCCAGCTGCTTCTTGGAAATCCTATACAGGATCACTGTGAGTCAAAACAGACGTGATGGCACTTAACAACAACAGTTACAATTGGAGGATTGCTTGTGGTGCTATAGGATAAGCACTGTGCTTCTGACTACAAGGTTGGCAGTTCACATCCACTAGTCACTGTGTGGGAGAAAGATGTGGCTTTCTGCTTCTGCAAAAGCAAAATGATGGCACCAGCTTTTCCTTTCATAGCACTCTCTACTCAGCTGGGTTCAGTAATTCATTTCAGTGGCCGCATAGAACTCAGGTACTGTACCCCAGTTATGGGGTCTACTTATTAGGGAAGTTAGCAGGTTATAATGCAGAATCAGAAAATGGTTATTTACTGGGTAGGACTGTCCCATCTAATATTTTCTGAAGTCATTAAAGGCAAAATCTCTTACTCATTCTTTTTCTATCAGTATATCAGAAATGGTCATAGTTCTTCCATTCAGAGTAGCCTCTCTGCAGCTCTGCCCACAGGCAAGCCTCTTTGCCCAGCCCAAGCTCTTCTAGGGCTGCTGATCAATGCCCACAGGACACAGCTCTCCACCATAAGCCTCAGCTGAAAGCCTGCACTCTAGCTCTGTGAGTCACAAACTTAGCTCCCCTAATTAAGTGCCTGGAGTCAGCCCACTCTGCAAGCAAGCCTCCTGACTTGCTCTATGGGCAGGGAAGCCCATTGCTCCTGGCATGCTCTGGCTTTTGGTTCTGCTACTTCTGCTTTTCTGGTGTCAGCATTCTGTCCCTGGGTTGAGGGGGTTCAGTTTGCAGGGAGATCAGAGTCCAAAGGCTGTGCTCTATCCTGGCTCTTTGTTCTTTGGTGATAGTGAGATCCCTCTGCCTGCTCTGGGATGGCTTGTTTTATGCTCAGGTTAGAGTTCCAAGTTTTGACAGACACAGTTAGCTGTGGTAACAACCATTCACAATGGAACCATACCTTCCTTTCATTATCTTCTTCCACTGTGTCTTAGACCCATGAGGAAAAGAGTCATTTGGTTGGAGATACAAAAAACTAAAGCTAACAGAATAATTCACTACACCACGTCTCTTGTAAAGATTTATAGCCTCTCAAAGCCTATCCAGGGCTGCTATGAGTGAGTAGCCTAGGAGGTGGTAGGTGGGTTGGCGCAGCCTCGCAAGCTGTATTCAGGGTTGCTATGAGTCTGAACTGACTCGGTGGCAGTGGATGCATGGTAGGTGTTAAGTGACAGTGAGTCGATTCTGAAACCTGTGTAGGGTTTCTGAGGTTGGGAATCTCTGCCAGAGCAGAAAGCCTCCTTGTCTTTGTACCGCAGAGAGGCTGATGTGCTCAAACCGGTGAGGATGAGGTTTGCAGTCCAGTGTTTATCCTGCAAAGTCACTGTGAGTGGGTAGGTGCTGCCTGTTGGGGATTCTTAAATGCACCAGGATATACTGATAGAAAAAGAATGAGTAAGAGATTTTGCCTTTAATGACTTCAGAAAATATTAGATGGGACAGTCCTACCCAGTAAATAATAAGTGTTATACTAGAGGTATGGGAATCCTGGTGTCAGCACTGCACTGTTAACTTTAATGTCAATAGTTCAAACCCTCGGAAACCCTGTACAGGCCTCTATGAATCAGAACCAACTTGATGACACTTTACAGGCTATTTAAAGTATGAACTAGATGGTCTCTGGCATGCCTTATTCTTAATTCATGCTGAAGTTTGGTATCACTCTGAAACATTTTCCAGGGTTGCTGTCAAGCCGCTTGTCTTTAGTGTGTATTATTTGACTTCTTTCCCTCTTAAAGATCAAAAAGTAGGGAAAGAAAAGTTAGTTCCAAGTGTAGAAAAATAGAAATCTGGTTACCAAGGAGATGGAAAATATGTTTCACACATACTTGGAAGCATAAAGCTAGAAGTGACCTTCGATCCTTATTTAAATGCAAGAGCAGTTGGGGGCTTGTGTGTTATTACATATCTACTTAGCAAAAATCATTGGATTAAAAACTGATTGTCCTAACTCAGTTTAGTACTTGCTGCGTTTTTTTCTTGACCATAGCCACATTTGTGCTACTTATCTATGGATTGGTTTTGTTTAGCATTGGTTGAATGGAAGTGCTACAGGGAAAATAATACAGTTGAGAATTTATCATCCTGACATACGACATGCATATATTTGTGTCTCTTAATTTTTTATTTATTTTTTAAAGGTGGTAATTGGTGGCCGAAATAAATATTTAATCAATGGAGTAAATGCAAACAATACCAGAGTTCAAGATCTCTTCTGTTCTGTTGGCCTTAATGTTAACAACCCTCACTTTCTCATCATGCAGGTATTTTGTTTGTGGTCTTTACATCTGTTTCATAATGATTTTGACATCTTTTATTTTTAAGTGTTATTGTTGGAGAGATTCTTTGTTTATTGGGTTTTCTATTTTTTGCTTACTAATATGCTGGTGTTTGATCCCTTATTAATATATGTGGTTTAATTATTTATATTGGAATTTGAAGAAGTGTCTAGAACTAACTTTCTGGGGTTTTATTTTCTTATTAGAAGAACAGTGTGCTCACTACAAAGAAAATATTTTTTAATTTTAATTTTTTAAAAGTATTGAATTAAAGCATGAGAGTCCTGGTATGGTGCTGTGGGTTAATGCACTAGACTGCAAAGCTGTTTGAACTGCAAGGTCAGTGGTTAAAGCTTACCATTCACTCCTTGGAATCCCTATACCGGGTCACTATGAGTTGGAACCGACTCGATTGCACTTAACAACAACAACAACAACATGGCACTATAGAATAAGCATTGGAGACAAGATGAGCAGTTCAAACCCACCAGCTGCTCCTTGGAAACCCTATACAGGGTCACTATGAGTTAGAGCCAATTCAGCGGCACTTAACAACAACGTTTCAAGCATGAATTACAGTTTGAGTTTTTTTTTTTCCTTTAGAGAGATACTCACAAATGAATAGTAAAGACTGATAGTATTGCTCATACATTATCTCACTTCATCCATCCATCCATCCATAATAGCATAACAGTCAGTAGCAGAATGATAGCCATACAAAAATATTTGTACAAGTCATAGCTGGGAACTTACTTCAGATGAGAGTTGGATGCTTTTTTTCTTTTGAGAGATGGAGAGATAATGAATGAATTTGATGCTTTTCTGGCATTGAAGTTAAATTATTTATTTTGTTATGCCTCTAGGTATGCAGTGTAATTCTTGGGTGACTATCATTCAAAATTTCAAGAAGCGTTCGGTAATTGTAGTTACCTAGTGCTGCTGTAACGGGAGCACACCAAGAGGATGCCTTTGGCAAGCTAATGGACTATTGATATTTCAGGAGGCTAGAAGTGGGACTCAGAGCTCCAGCTATAGGAGAAGCTTTTCTCTCTCATTTGGCACAAAAAGGGCCTTGTCTCTTCAGCACCTGGGCCCTGATTCCTTGGAGGTCTTCATGTGCCCTGGCATATTTTACCCATTTCTCTTCTCTCTTATTTAATCTATATCTCAAAAGAGGTTGACACTGGACATACCCTTTACTTGAGCATTTTCAGGCAGCAATTGATACAGCAACATGGAAGTTGGTGGCAATAGGGTTGCATTTTCCTTTGTTGTCACATTGGGCATCAGTCATACTACTGCTTAGTCTGAAGGTGTATGAATTTTACCTTGTTACGTTTTTTTATTGGACTCCTGGTGTGGTGCTGTGGGTTAATGTGCTGGGCTGCAAAGGTGGCTTGAGGTCAGCAGTTCAAGCTCACCATTCGCTCCCTGGAAAGCCTATACAGGGTCACTTTGGGTCGGAATCAACTTGACAGCACTTAACAGAAATGACAATAAGAGATCTTTTATTGCTGTTGTTTATGTTTGAGACCTTCAACAGATTGAGAGGATGTCAAAGATTTCAGAAATAGATAATATGTTGAAACTTCAAAGAAGCAGAATTGAATAAATGAAAGGCCAAATTAGTGAGCTGGAAGACAAATCTCTCAATATTCATCTGTGAGGAGCAATCAGAAAAAAGGACAAAAAAGTCTGAAGAAAGTCTAAAGAATTATGTGGGACACCATCAAGAGGAATAACTTAACAAGTGATTGGAGTTTCAGAAATGGAAGAGACCAAAAAAAAAAAAAAAAATTATAATCCATGAAGATTGGAGCATATGCAATCAAGAAGTTGAACAAACTCCACAAATAGGATGGACCCCAAAAGAAATTCACCCAAAATAATCATATTCAGAATTTCCAGAACTTTTAAAGACAAGGATGGATTCCTGAAAGTATCTCAGGAAAAACGAAAAGTTACTTACAAAGGAGAACTAATAAGACGAAGCTCTGAGTTCTCAGCAGAAACCATACAGGCAAAAAGACAATGAAATGGCATAATACAAAATCCTGAAAGGAAAAAAAATTGGTAACCAAGAATTATGTCCAATCAAATTGCCCCTCAAATATGACAGCGAAATCTGGGCATTTCCAGATAAACAAGATTTGTAAAAACCAGTCCAACCTTATAAAAATGTTAAAGGGAGAACCCCGCCTCCTTCCAAGACTAAGACTCATTGGGAATACACAAGCAGACATCCACTCTGATTGGTGACCACGTTTGTTGCCGATAAGGGGAAGTGAGGGAAAAACAGCAATGAAGTTGCGATTCAAGTCCTACAACGTTCAATAGACTCCTGTGAACCCGCATGGAGACCTGTTTGGCCAGCAGTGTGGTAAGACCTGTGGACTCTTGGACCCAGAGTCAGTGACATAGCCACAGAGGACTAGAGTGGAGAGTGAAGCATCCAGCTGATTAAAAGAGAGGGCATATGCATAAGAACATCCACACTTGCGATAATACCCACTCAACCTGTCTTCAATGACTGGATGATCAGAGCTCAACTAGAAGAAGAAAGCAGAGGGAAAAAAAAGTAATCTGATACAATTATATGAACTTGACCTATACCTAGGGATGCAGTAGCTCAAAAGGGAACAAACCTTTACAGCGAGGATCATTCCCATCCCCTCCATACACAGACTAGACTGGGATGGGTAACTTGGATATTTGCTACCCAAAATGGGGTGCTACAAAGGCAAGAAGTGACTGGCTTACAGGCTTTCAAGAGGGAGCCTAGATCCAGAGGGCGCGGAGGAAGGTAGAATCTCCACTGAGTAGTATCTTATCTGGGCGGGGCTAATGAAAAGAGATGTGGATAGGTCTCTTGTGATAACAATAGTGAATAATTGTTATCAGGACTGACTGTAAGGGTTGGAAATGTAAAAGTAGATGTTTTATAGCAAAAGGAAGGGAATGATTGACTATGCAGTCCAGAAATAGAGGTCCTTAGAACCATCAAGGGAGAAGAGCAGAGAGCGGGACCCTACTCAGAGAAGCAGTGATGCCAGAGATGGAGGCAGAAATGATGACGTGGAGAGATGGAGCGGCTGGGGACGCTAGACCCAGAGAGGGAGAGGGGCTGTGTGCTGATGACCTGGGGGTAGGGAGGGGCAGGCTTTTGTAGGCTCCTTTGGTTGGTTGAAGATGCATGGAGGGGATTATAACCATGGCCGTGAAACAATATACGTACAATAGGATGAATGTAAAGCTAATGTTCTCCCATGTAAGCTATCACATAATTCACAATAAAACATTAAAAAAAAATTATTAAAGGGAGAACTTTGAACATAGAATCACCACAATAGATAATAACATGAGATTAACAAACATAATAATATCCAGTACTCAACCCAGTATAGAAATATACAAGTAAAACAAACAGAGGAAAATAGGGAAATAGAGGTTTAAGTTCGCAATTATTAAAAAAAACTTCACAAAGTAGAAAGAGGGAATAAAGTAGCTACAGAACTTCTAAATGAAGAAGAGACCAAACTATAACCCTAAAATGACACCAAGTGTTAACTCTTAGCCCTAGTCCAAACCCTACTAACATTAACCCTTGTTATTAAGTGCCATTTAGTTGGTTCTAACTCGTAGTGACCATGTATAGGGTTTTCAAGGAGCAGCTTATGGGTTTGAACTGCTGACCTTGTTCGCAGTCCAGTGGTGATCCTACAGTGCCATACCAGGAGTCCTACTTTAACCCTAGTCATAGCCATAACCCGGACACTAAATGAAGCCTTAGGCCTAGACTTAGCCATAGTCCTTCCTAACTCTTACCTCCTTATTCCTATTTCTCCAGTCGAAAGAAAACAAAACAAAAAGAAAGCATCTGTCTTTCTCCTTTGTCTAATCACATACTCTTAAAGCCTTACAAGAAACATTTAACATCCATACTAATAACATTCTGTTGCTGGTTCTGTATGTATTCTCTTAAGATTAAAGAGACTGTGTTGCATTCTTTGATTCCTTCTAAAACCTCACCAGAATTGCTTTGGGTATCCAGAATTCTATCAATTGTCTGTTCTAAGCAGGCTAGACTTTTACTGTTAAGCTTTGTGGAGTCAGTTCTGACTCATAGCAACCCTGTATAGGGTTGTAGCTAGGGGGTTTGAACTGCCCACCTTGCAATTCAAATGACCTTGTAGTCCAGAACATTAACCCTCCTTGACACACCAGGCCTCAAGCTTTACTATTAGACACCTCAAAACTTTTATGGTCTTTTCCCAGTTCCAAAACCACTTACACATTTTGGGTGTTCTTTACAGCGGCACCCCAATCCCAGTACTAAAATCTGTCTCAGTTATCTAGTGCTACAGCGAAGTAATTACGAGTCAGCAGTTTAAAACTATCAGGGAGAAAGATGAGGCTTTCTGGTCCCGTAAAGATTTAAGCCTTGGAAACCCTGTGCAGTCTCTATTAGTCGAAACTGACTCCACGGTACGTAACCACCATCACTATACCTGAGGAGTCCTAGTGTGGCTCTGTTGGATAAAGCACTGGATGGCAAGGTTTGTTTGAACCACAAGATCAGTGGTTCAAATTCACCAGTCGCTCCTCAGAAATCTTACACAGGGTGGTTCTGAATCAGAACTGACTCAACGGCACTTAACAACAATGCTGTAACAGAAATAACACAAGTGGATGGCTTTAACAAGCAAATGTATATTCTCGCAGTTTGGAGGCCAGAAGCGTGAATTCTGAGCACCAGCTCTAGGTGAAGTCTCTCTCTCTGTGGACTCTGGATGTGATCTTTTCCTGCTTCCTACTACCTCTCCATGTGTCTTGATATCAGTCTCAATCTGTCTCTCCTCTGCTCCCTTGTTTGGTCTCTTTTTTATTTCGAAAAAGATTGACTCAAGATACGATACACCCTACACTAATCCAGTTGGCCTCATAACAAAAGCAACCATTTCCTAATGGGAGTTAAATAACAGGCACAGAGATGAGGATTTACAACAGTTAATTTTGGAGGATACAACTCAGTCAACAAGAGTAATTGTACTGAAATTTATATACATATCTGTTTTTATTAATGTATCCATTTCAGAATTGAGTGCTTGTATACATCATTAATATTAAATGAACTCTGGGGTGCACTGGCTAACTGTCTTAAAAATCTGATCTGAGTTATCTTCGTATAACTTGCGCATCACTCAGTGAGAAAATGAATAGCAGTGCAAAAATTCTAATTGTAGGATTTCTTTGGTCTCAACTGCAATAAAGTATCTTTTCATGTATGTAAGAGAAAGAACTGCCAAAACACTGGTGCGTTAGGGTGGTCTTGCTTTTGCTAGTTGTAGACTAGACCCTGGCTCTTGGCAATTCATTGTACAACAGAATTGTCCTGCTGTGACCCATGTAATAGGATACATACAGCCCTAGTAAACAGACACAGACAGATCTGTGTGTTACATTTTATGTAATTTTTTAAAGTACTAAGTTTGGCATTTTAATTTCAGGGTCGAATTACAAAAGTATTGAATATGAAGCCTCCAGAGGTAAGAATATTTTATGAATAGTAAAAATAGTAATGATCAGTACTATTTAATCTTCTAGGTAGTCAATTTTTTTTAACATAATTTCTTTCATTATTAAATTCTTGGGAACATTAAGAATGATTAGTAAAGGAGTTTAGTTTTATATTTGGTACTGTGCCATATATGTAAAGAAATGCTGACTTTATTAAGCTTCTTCTCTCAGTTAGTGTTTGGGGAGAACAAAACCCTATAGAAAAGACTTGAGTGACTGTTTTTGCATTTTCCTAAGATTGCACATAGCTAGCTAGTACTGTTTAAGATGCATAGAAGAGAAAATAATTGATTTGTTGGTATAAAGGTATGGATACTTCTTACAAGAATTAAGGTGGTTTTTTTTAGTTATTTGCTTCTATTAAAAGGCACTAATAAGACTGATACAAAGTGGTTTCCAAGACGAAATAGTTCTTTTGAGACAAGTATTGACTTCTAGAAAAGGATTCCTGACAAAACTGTCCTTGCTATAAAATTGTACAGTAAAACCTGGGAAAACTAGAGCCAGTATAAAGTGGAAACTTATCAGAGAAGGAAAACTCAAATATGTTCCACTAAACTGAGCGAAAAAGAAGGGGTAAGACTGCATCTTGTCAAAGATGGAAAATTTGTCAGATAATGGAAAAACAAGGCAGTCTGGAGATTAGACTCAGGTTTCACTGTAATTAGTAGGGTTTTTCCATGCATTGTTTTTATTTAATTATCAGCAGTCTTTATGAAATGCTTTCAGTTCTTCAGGTAAAGAAATGAAGCACAAAGATTTGGTTACTTGCCTAACTTCTTAAAGAATGTGCCATGGTTGGGATGTAATTGTTATGCCTTGTTTCATCCTTGGCGGCACAAAATGGCTGGATAAATGTTAAGTAGCCACAAAATAAAGGTGAATGGTGTTAACCTTTTTAAAAAATGGTTTTGTATTTGTAATTGAAGGGAAAAAAGAGAATTGCTGGCTTCAAATTAAAAAGAAATGTACTCTAGAAGCTTTGTAGCAGAAAGTGTGATTTTAGAATTTGGGGGAAGTACAGAAATGTTTCTTGAATGTGAGAGTTGTGGGTAATACCTAATTTTTATCTGTTGTTAAAATTAATTTAGACCATTGTTTTGATGTTTACTAATGTAAAGGCCATAAATCACGCACATACTGAAGTCTTCAAGCACTAAACAATTATCATTCCAGATTTTATCTATGATAGAAGAAGCAGCAGGAACCAGGATGTATGAATACAAAAAAATAGCCGCCCAGAAAACTATAGAAAAAAAGGAAGCTAAGCTGAAAGAAATTAAGACGGTAAAAATTGATATAAGATATTTTTGAAGAGTGAAATCTTCCTCTGGATTTTCTGAGCTCTGAAGAAGGAAAGCTTTTTGTGTTCTGTTTGTTTTTCCATAACCTCCCATGATACTTTTAAAAATTGTACTTCATATTCTGAAAATACTAATTTTCCTTTATTTTTCAGATACTTGAAGAAGAGATTACTCCAACCATTCAAAAATTAAAAGAGGTATATATTATACATCTGAAAATAGTCAATAGACTATCTTTTAAATTGGTCAATTATTGAAATCATATGTATAGGGATGAAGAATATACTAATTTGGAGGAATTTTTAAAAATTCATATAATTAGGTTGATGTATTGGAAAAACTGAAAAATTATGAACCTGAAGATACCTCTATGAATGCATGTTGTTGTTAAGTGCCATCAAGGTGGTTCTAACTCATAGCCACCCTATGTAGGGTTTTCAAGGAGCAACTGGTTGGTTTGAATCACCAACCTTAAGGTTAGCAATCCAGTATGTTGTTATTGTTAGGTGACATTGAGTCAGTACTAATTCATAGTGACCCTGTGCACAGCAGAACAAAACACTGCCCAATCCTGGGCCAACCTCACTACTGCTGCCACGCTTAAGTCCATCGATGCTCCCACTTGGCCAATCTGTCTCTTTGGGGGTCTTCCTCTTTTTCTGTGACTCTTCATCTTACCAAACATAATATCCTTCCCCAGTGACTGGTCCCTCCTGACAGTATGTCCAAAGTATGAGAGATGAAATTTGGCTATCTTGGCCTCTAAGGAGCATTCTGGCTGCACTTCTTCCAAAAGGGATCTATTGATTCTTTTGGCAGCACATGGCACTTTCAGTATTCTCCTCCAACACCATAACTCAAAAGCATCCATTTTTCTAAAGTCCAGTATAGTTAGTTAAAAACAAAATTCCAGATCAGGAGTTTAAACCTAAATTGCAGGCTTTTTTTGTTTTTTTTTTTTAAGTCTAATATCTTAGTCGGAGTCCTGGTTTGGCGCTGTGGGTTAATGTGCCAGACTGCAAAATTGTTTGAACTGCAAGGTCAGTAGTTCAAGCTCACCAGCTGGTCCTTGGAAACCCTGTACAGGGTCACTGTGGGTCACAATCAAGAACAACAATACCTTAATCTGTAAATTGAGGATTTTAATTTGACTGCCCTAGTGGTTCCTTACGGGAATCAAGTTTAGTAATGCATAAAGGAGTGTTCATAAGTACTTAGCTTGCAGGAACATTTGATAGACATCTTGGTAATATTATAAATTATATTTATTAAGTGTGTTCCTGATGGGGATGTAGGTTGACTATACAGACATTCTACTACCAATAGTCTGTGAGCCTTCTGCTCACATTTATGTGTTAATCTCAAATGTTTGGTTATATAAAAGAAGAAACAGGCACATAGGAGTCACTGAACCTGTTGCAGTCGAGTCAGTTTCAGCTCACAGTGCAGAGTAGAGAACTGTACCGGTGAATTTTTGGTTGCAGTCTTCGTGAAAGCAGTTAGCCATGCCTTTCTTCCACAGAGCTGATGGATAGGTTCAAACTACTGACCTTTAGATTGATGTTATTAAGTGCCATCAACTCGGTTCTGACTCAGCGACCCTGCATAGCATTTCCAAGGAGCAGCTGGTGAGCTTGAACCGCCAAATTTCTCAAATTGCTCACCAAAGATGGACTATTGCTGTCTAAGAAATCAGCGTTCTAATCTACTTTAAAATGCCCTAAAATGTTTTATTTGTAAGGTTATTTAAAGTAAAATTTCTTGGATCATGAGATCAAAAGTTTGATACATGTTATAGTTTGATTCTTTCCAAATTTAGTATATATGAGTGTTTGAATAATCTTTTATTGGTACTTTTTCTTTTAGGAAAGATCTTCCTACTTGGAATACCAAAAAGTGATGAGAGAAATAGAACATTTGAGTCGTTTATATATTGCTTATCAGTTTTTACTGGCTGAAGATACTAAAGAACGCTCAGCTGAGGAGTTAAAAGAAATGCAGGATAAAGTTTTAAAACTTCAAGAAGAATTGTCAGAGAATGATAAAAAAATAAAAGCACTTAGTCATGAAATAGAGGAGTTAGAAAAGAGAAAAGATAAGGTAAATAGCATTATAAATAAGACTGTACTTTATATGAAAAAAATATTAAACTCTTATATACAATAACTTCTGGATTAAGTCAGTATTGTCTTCCTTATTGTCTTCTTAATCTTACAGTAGGATAATAAAGTAGATTTTAAATGATCTAAATATTTCACAAATAAAGAAAAACATCAACAGATTTTAAATGATGTTAGTGAATTGGGCACTTTTGATTACAGGAAATTGGAGGTATACTCCGCTCTTTAGAAGATACTCTCGCAGAGGCTCAGCGTGTTAATACTAAATCCCAAAGTGCCTTTGATCTCAAGAAGAAAAATCTGGGAAGTGAAGTAAACAAACGCAAAGAGCTGGAAAAAAGTATGGTGGAGGTAAGCAAATAAGCAGTTTAATGATCACTGTTGTTTATAAGTACTGTTGAGTTGGAACCAGCTCATCACTACCCTGTATTCCTGTAAGCAGCTGGTGAGTTTGAACCGCCTATCTTGCTGTTCAAGCCAACCTTGCGGTCCAGTGCGTATCCTACAGTGCCACAGCAAGACTCCTTGATGATCACTAGTGTACACTTAATCATCCCGTGAATATTGATTAAGAACCTAGTATGGGCCAGGCACACTTGTTTTGCAGGATCACGGGGCTTTGCAAGACATACAAAACACTGACATTTACTCTGAGTGACATGGGAAGCCATAGAGCTGATGGAGCAGAGAAGTGGTAGAAATGACATTTCTTATGTCTCAACAGTATTGTTCTGGTGGTTTTGAGGTTAAACTCAAGTGTCAAGAGGCGAAGCTGGGAATCCAGGTTGGAGGATGTAGGCTCTTGAGTAAAGATAGAAACAGGGTTAGTGAAATAGTGTAGAATTTTATGTGTATCTTAAGGATAGATCCAGTAGGATAGGTTGATAGGCTGTTGGGTGTGTGAGAAAAAAGGAGCCAAGAATAGCTTCAGGGTTTTTGTCCTTGATAATTAGGTTAGTGTTGCCATTAGCTGAGGTGGAGAAGAAGAGAAAGAACAGGGTTGGATGGGGAAAATGAAAAGTACAGTGTGAACATACATGCCTGTACATTTTTGAGTGCAGTTGTTGATAGGGTAATTGAATATATGACTTTCCAATCTAGGCTAGAGATAAGAATTTGTGCGTCATCGATATATACATATGTTTATCCATGAGACTGAATAACCAATGGAGTGAGTGTATAGAAGAAGAGAAGAGCCCGAAGGTTTGAATGCTGGGATTTTTCAACATTTAGAAGTCAAGAGACCTGAAGAACCATAAAATAGATTGTGAAGGAGCATTCAGTAAGTTATGCAGGAAGTAGACTCAGTAAGGTGTCCTAAAGGCCAAGTGAAGAAAGTGTTTTGATTAGAATTAGTTCGAGACAGAATAAGAGAAGAAAAATCTGAGAGTGAATTACTGTTAATATATGAGAAAAATTTGTATCCCCAGACTCAAAAATGAATTTACAAGTAACAAAACCTAAAATAACACTAGCATATAGTGTTGACAGACACAGCTCAGAACTGGTGACTTGATGCTGAGATGCTGAGTGTAGTAGTTCCTCAGGAAGGAATTTGTGCTACTTAGGGAGTGCACTGCCTCTTTTAAGAACTCCCTGCAAAACAAATGCTGAATAATAGTAGTTGTGCTTTTCATCCATTCTTAAGTAAAATAGAAAATTCTGTGGATTTCTTTCAGTTAGCAAAATAAGTCACCTTGTAAAAAATGAAGTGGCAAAAAGCAAACTAGAAAAGTAGGGGATTCTAGTGTAGGTTATTCTTTTGAGATTTTTCTGCAAAGGGAATGCTGAATAGGAAGCTAGGTGGAAAATTTATAGAATTAAAAGTTTTTGGTGTTGTTTTGTTTTTAAGATTTGACAAAAACCAGCATGATTGTATATTGTTGGGAAAGATCCAGTGGAAAAGGCAACATTTGTGGATCATGAGAGAGATGGGAGAACTGTTAGAACTAGAGCCCTCATATAGGTGGTATAGGATTTAGTGTACAATAGGAGGTGCTAGCCTTTACAGAGGAGCAAGTCATCTGAGTAAATGATGTGAAGTGTATGGTCTTGTATGCAGGCAGATGTGTCACAGGAGCTTCTGGGACTTTTCTTGAATGATTCTGTTGTCCCAGTGAAAATATATAGTTCTGTGTTTCATTGGAAAAATAAATAATAACTTCATGAGATTTATTCGTGGAAATTTCTTAATCCTAAATTTTTCACCTTTAAAATTGGGTTAGGATAGCTGTTACTTCAATTTCTAAATTTAAAAACTGATAGTTTCTTCAAGAGATTTCTCTTTAACAATACACTTTATTTTTTTTAACTCATTATCTCCCAAATTCTTATGGAATGAAACTGTTGCTAAATGGGACAGGAATCACATTTATCACAAAAAACTGAATTTCAAAATAGGAATTCTATATTTAAAGAAATGAGAAATATTTTTTTCTTGTTATCATAACCATTTAAAATTGCTATGAAGCTTGATGACTTAAGATATATGTGTATAAGAAATGAATGACTAGCTGAACAAATAATACTTTTGTACTTGAAACTTTTTTTAAAGGACTCTAAAACTTTGTCAGCAAAGGAAAAAGAGGTTAAAAAGATAACAGATGGACTGAATGCCCTTCAAGAAGCAAGTAATAAGGATGCTGAAGGCCTGGCTGCTGCCCAGCAACACTTCAATGCTGTATCTGCTGGCCTGTCTAGTAATGAAGATGGAGCCGAAGCCACCCTTGCTGGTCAAATGATGGCCTGTAAAAATGACATCAGTAAAGCCCAGACAGAAGCCAAACAGGTAAAGATGGACACAAAGCTCTCCATGATTGCCTTTGTACTCAGAAACTGTTCCACATCCATTTATTAGCAATTGTTTTTTGTTAAAGTTGAAACTAGTCCGTTCAAAAGTCGGAACTTACTTATACGTAATGGGACCTAAAACAGCAAAATTCAAACATATCATTTGCTAAACATTGATGATGTTTGCTTACTAAGATACTATAAAATCTTCATGGGTAATAGAATTATTAAATGCAGTAAATATTTTGTTGTAGTTTCAACATTGTGTGGAAAGTTGGAGCTTCATTTATTCTCAGCTTTTTTTTTATGACTTATTCACATTTATTGGCATCATAAAGTTGAAGTCTTAAGCTCTAACCGGAAAAAAAAAAGCTTTCTCTATATTCTATGCCTACCATGCCTATAACTAGTTCTTAAAATCTTATTTTTGAAACCTTGCAACATTTTTCTAGAAAGATTTCCTCCTTCCCATTTTCCCAGTTGTTCTTACATCTCCCTGCTTTCACTTCATGTTCTTTTATGGTGTCTGATCTATTTTCATAGTTTTCAAATTTGTAGGGAGTAGTTGTGGCACTGGAGTTTTGGTACTCAACCACAAGGTCAGTGTGAATCACAAACAAAGGTGGCGGTTCAGACTCACCGGCCACTACTTGGAAACCCTATATGTATATGGTCTCTATAGGTTGGAACTGACTCACCAGCACTGAATAACAACAACAAGGTGGAACATTGTAGCTTAAGCACTGGACTATTAACCACAAAGTTGTTGGTTCAAGCCCTCCAGCTGCTCCTCAGAAACCCTGTGTAGGGTTGCTGTGAGTCAGCACCAACTCAACGGCACTTAACAACAATACAGCGAAAAATACTGTGAATACATGAACTTTGTTGGGGTAGGATATACATTTAAGACTGTTTTCTGTACATCTGTATTTGCTACTTTTTCACTCAAAGATAATTCACCAAAAACTATAAGAAAACAATTGCAGAAAATTGAGAAAGTTCCATTTTTTCTCATAACTTACAATTTACGGGATCTGGAAAAAGGCTACTATTTTTCAGTTTTAGAGGGAAAATACCTTGATCTAGGGCTTGTAGTATTAGTTCATGGTTCTAAAAAGAAGCAGTGTTCAATAATATAAATATCAGACTCCAGAAGTTTTAGGAATCACTGCATTTAAAATTTTTTAATCACTGCATTTAAAATCACTGCATCCTAATATTTAAATTTCTCTATCAATTTAGCTTTTCTATATAATATTTCTCATTGCTCAGTGAACCATCTCCATTGTTGTTAGATAACACTCATAAACATATACGCTTGAATTTGACCCTCAGTATCCCCACAAGGTGTTAACTCCAGAGCTCCCTGTAGACACCAAAATCCACAGATGCTCAAGTCCCTTATATAGAATGGCATGGACTTATGCACATCCCCGTATACTTTCAAACATTTCTAGATTACTTATAATCCCTTTAACAATGTATTGCTATCTATTTTGTTGTTGTTAAGTGCCATCAAGTCGGTTCTGACCCATAGCGACCCTGTATAGGGTTTCTGAGGAACCGCTGGTGAGCTTGAACCACCGACCTTGCAGTTCAAACGGATTTGCAGTCTAAGGGGCTTCAAAAAGTTTGTGGGAAATTCCATTACAATTTATTTCCATTTTGAAGCCGCCTCGTAAGTGGCAATTCACATTCACAATTCACTTTTTTTCCCCAAGATACTTTCATTGTATAGTTAGCTGAATTCATACATAAGGAGGGCTACCTGTACGTGTATCCAAGTGGAAAAAGAGACTTTCATCTTTCCATTGTATGTTTTCTTTTAACAGTTTAAAAGTTATTCTTTGATAAAACGTTTGAACTCTATTAGTAAGGTATTTTATGAAAGAAATTTGAACTGTAATTCAGATTTTTTTAATGATTTACTTTAAATTTGTATTAGTTCGTATTCTGAGTAGTTTTTTAGAAGAAAATCCTGGGAAATGATTGAAATACAAATCCTGGAGATCAAATAGTTAAATTTTTTTCAATGCTGATGTTTCTTAATTAACTCAACCTGTTATCTGCGGCCCTTTAATCACCAGTCCTATCTGTCTCATATATAGTTTGCTATATTTTTATCTTCTAGGCACAAATGAAGTTGAAACATGCCCAACAAGAATTAAAGGCCAAACAGGCTGAGGTTAAAAAGATGGATAGTGGTTACAGGAAAGATCAAGAAGCGTTAGAGGTTGTGAAGAAACTTAAAGAAAAACTTGAAGCTGAAATGCAAAAGCTAAATTATAAAGGTTTGCCTTTAAAATTATACCAAATCTTTAGGAAGGAAAGAGTTTTGATAGAAATAAACTTAATAGATAATCATTGTTGTTAAATGCCATCAAATTAGTTCCGATTCATAGCAACCCTGTGTAGGGTTTCCTAAGAGCAAACAGCTGGTGGATTTGAACTGCTGACCTTGTGGTTAGCAGTCCGCTGCTTATCCTTGTTGTTATTGTGAAGTACCATCGAGTCGGTTCCAACCCATAGCGACCCTGTATAGGGTTTCTGAGGAGCAGCTGGTGAACTTGAACTGCCGACCTTGCAGTTCAAACAGCTTTGCAGTCTGGCGCATTAACCCACAGCGCCACACCAGGACTCCACTGCTTATCCTACAGCACCATAAATAGGGAAAAATTAACTACTAATGAGTATGGTGTGAGTCCTATGAGTCAGAACTGACTCAACAGTACTTAACATCAGTGGCTATAAGTGTAAATTCAGTCATAAAAATAAGTCTTACTATTGAAGAACCCTAGGAATTTTTGAAAACTCTGTACTGAGAATATACTGCTTTATTACTCTGAGTGCCACTTGAAAAGAATGTCATTTATATCTTCTTATGTTAGAAAAAATTTGTATATATCGTATCTTGGAAAATTGTAAGTTGTTGGAAATAATGTCTACTTGAAATACGATAGAAACTTGGAAAACTTTTATTCAGTACTTACCAGAAATCATTGTTTCTAGAAATGCTTTGAAAATAGAAGCTATTAATATTTTTCTTAAAGCGATTTGATTTTCGAAAACTTGGTTTCAGTTTTTTTATAATGTATTGTTCAGAAAACAGGGAAGAAAGCCTTTTGGAAAAGCATAGACAGCTGTCTCGTGATATCAGTAGATTGAAAGAAACGTATGATGCTCTGGTGGCCAGATTTCCTAATCTTCGATTTGGATACAAGTAAGAGCTTTTTCTGTTTTTAATAGTATTTCATTGTGTTACCTATCAGTGAAGATTTACACAGCAATTTAGATTCCTATTTAACAATTTCTACACTAGTTATTCTGTGACATTGGTTACATTCTTTACAATGTGTGAACATTCTCATTTCTGTTCTGATTCTTTCATTACAATTAAGAGACTTAAGCATTGTATTTTTACATATTAGTAACCAAGGTTTGTTTTGTTTTGTGACGTGGAGTCCCTGGCTAGTACAGTTAATGTATTTGGCTGTTAATTGAAAAGTTGACAGACAAGTCTACTCAGAAACTCCCTCAGAAGATCGGCCTTCTGAAAAGCCAGCCATTGATCATCCTAGAGAGCATTGTTCTACTTTGACGTACATGAGGCCGTGAGTGAGGATGAACTGGATGACAAATGGTTCTGCTTGTTTTTGTTTAAGCTAGGAGACAACCTGACGATTTTTTGTCAACAAACAAATTTTTTGATGGGAATTTTTCTTAATTTGTACTTTTCTTTAAACATTTATCAAATGTTGAGAAGGGGAACTCTTGTGAAATCTAATGACTACTGATGCCATTAGTCTGTAGACCAAAATGAGGGGAATTGAATCTGAGTTCAAAGTTTCTCTAAATGTATCGTCAGTATGCCAACAACAACAAACGCTGACTGTCTATATTTACATTTTGTAATTTGTTTTGTCTCATGGTTTCCAGTGGAACAATTGCAGTAATCGTATCTACTGCATCAAACATCAAAGTTGTTTTTATAATGTACATAACCTATACTGAAAATTCTTTGATGAGTTTGAAGTATGTCTGACCATTGGGGGTATTTCTGTTTTTTAATCTAGGGTTAATTTTTATTAACTTTTTTATTTTAGGGATCCAGAGAAAAACTGGAATAGAAATTGTGTGAAAGGGCTTGTAGCTTCTCTAATTAGTGTCAAAGATACTTCTGCAACCACAGCTCTAGAATTGGTGGCTGGGGAAAGACTCTACAACGTTGTAGTAGACACAGAGGTAAACTGATTTTAATTAAAGATAATTTTAAGTTACTGCTAGCTTAAAAGATTTTATAATGTTGGAAGAATTAAATTTCCTTGATGTAATAAGTTTCTCCTAAGATCCTTATTTGTTCCAAGTAAAACTTTTCAGTTAATGAGTTTTTTATGACAGCAATCCAGAGGAAGTCTCACGCTGACTCAGGATGCCACAATGTGCGTTATTCTTAGGATTCTGGTTGTTCTGGGTAGAAAACTCAAAATGGTCATTGACTATGGCTTTTCAAATTAGCAGTATATCCATTTAAATGTTTTCTATCATTTCAAATAATGTTTTGGGGATTCTTTTGCTGTTATTTTTAAAAAAAATGTAATGTATATTGTTTTAGGTTACTGGCAAAAAGCTACTAGAAAAGGGGGAATTGAAGCGTCGCTATACTATAATTCCACTCAATAAAATTTCAGCCAGATGTATTGCTCCAGAAACCCTGAGGGTCGCTCAGAATCTTGTAAGTCTTTTTTATATGTTTAATCTTATTTTTTTTTTAAAAAAGTCTTAAATTTGAGGATATTAATGAGTCCTTCTGGGAACATCACACACTTTTTAATTGTACTTGTTGTTGTTAGTGCCATTGATACTTTGAACTCATAGCTCCCCTGTATAGGGTTTCCAATGCGTGAAATCTCTGTGGGAACAGAGCGCCTCAGCTTCCACATAGAGACTGGCTGATGGGCTCAACCATAGACCTTGTGGTTTGGAGTCCAGGATTTATCATTCTGGAGTCATTGCTCTCCCCTAATAATGTTATAATTTATAAGAAGAAAAAATTAAAATAGGGTTTGTCGTACATTTTTGTGATAAGAGACTAGAAATGTCAGATTAGAACTCCCTTTGGCATTTCAAAAATGTTTAAGTCTCAGTCCCCTAACAGTCAGATGGGAGTTTGGTCTCCGACATGGGCCTGTAACAGGTGACTGCATACCTGTTTGGCCGCTTAAGTTAGAGTTAAAGTGGTGTGCCTACCAGTAAGAAAACATGAGTGCAAAAACATGCACTTTTGTGGTTGTGTAACACTGAGTAAAGTTTTGCTAAAGGTAATACAGAAACAGCTACAATCATACATTGACAGAGAACTTTCAGAGGTTCAAGCTGGATTCAGAAGAGGCCGGGAACGAGAGATAATCATTACTGATGTCCGGTGGATCTTGACTGAAAGCAAAGAATATCAGAAAGATATTTACCTATGCTTTATTGACTACACAAAGGCTTTCGATTGTGTGGATCATGACAAGCTATGGGCAACATTGAGAAGTAATAGTATTCCAGAACACTTAATTATACTTCTGAGGAATCTATACCTGGACCAAGAAGCAGTTGTTCAAACAGAGCATGGGAACACTGAATGTTTTAAAACTGGGAAAGGTGTTCGACAAGGTTGTGTTCTTTCACCATACTTATTCAACCTGTATGTTGAGCAAGTAATATGAGGAGCTGGGTTCCATGAAGAAAAACGTGGTGTCAGGATTGGAGGAAGACTCATTAACAACTTGTGATATGTAGATGATACAACCTTTCTTGCTAAAAGTAAAGAGGACTTGAAACATTTACTGATGAAGATCAAAGAACACAGCCTTTGGTATGGGTTGCATCTCAATGTCAGGAAAACAAAAATCCTCACCACTGGACCAATAAGCAACTTTCTTGGATCAACTATCAACATTCATGGAAGCAGTAGTCAAGAGATCAGAGACGTATTGCATTGGGCAAATCTGCTGCACAGGAACTTTTTAAAGTGTTGAAGAGCAGAGATGTCAGCTTGAGGACTAACGTGCGCCTGACCCAAGCTATGGTATTTTCAATAACCTCATATGGATGCGAAAGCTGGACAGTGAATAAGGAAGACCGTAGAAGAATCGATGCCTTTGAGTTGTGGTGTTGGAGGAGAATACTAAAAGTGCCATGGACTGCCAAAAGAACCAATAGATCTATTTTGGAAGAAGTGCAGCCAGAGTGCTCCTTAGAGGCCAGGATAGCTAAACTTCGTCTCTCATACTTTGGACACATTGTCAGGAGGGAACAGTTGCTGGAGAAAGATGTCATGCTAGGTAAGATGGAGGGTTAGAGAAAAAGAGGAAGACCCCCAACGAGATGGATCAGCCAGGTGGCATCATTGATGGTGTCAAGTGTGGCAGCGGTGGTGGGGTTGGCCCAGGATCGGACATTGTTTTGTTCTGCTGTGCATGGGGTCGCTATGAGTCGGTTCCGACTCGATGGCACCTGACAGCAACAACAATACTGGGTGAAAACATGAAGCCAATTGAAACATTCAGCAAGATTTTCAATTTGTTTTAATAGGTATTCCAAGTGTGTGAATTTTAAAGTATAAAAGCTAGACATGCATGTGTAATTAACAATTGCCTATATAGTGAACCAATTTAACATTCATATTTGTAATCTAAGAACTCCTGGTGTGGCGCTGTACGATCAGTACTGAACTGTGAACCAGCTGCTCCTTGGAAACCCTATACAGGGTCGCTGTGAGTCAAAATGGACTGGACAGCACTTAACAACAACATATAGAAAACTAATTTAACTTCAATATTTATATTCTAAAGTAACAGATCAGCCTCAAAAACCCTATACATGCTTGCTATAGGTCAGAACTGACTTGATGGCACTTAACGACAAAGAAGTTGAAGCAAATATAGAATGTATCTTCTGAAATGAATAAGCCTTCAATGAAAATGACTTTAAAATATACTTAACTATATTGATAACTATTTTGTAAGGGAAAAGCGGATGAATGCAGAGTAATTGAAATGTGGTACTTTAGATTGGTATTTCCTGTACTTTGAAGAAATCACTTTTGGGGTCTAAAAGGCTTAGAACATTATTTGAGCCTTAGATCAGCTCTCAATATTTGAAATAAATTGAAATTTCAAACACAGCAAAAATGCTTTGACTTAGTTCCATTGCTAGACCTGTTTAGTGGCCGCTGCTGTGTCCAAGAACAATGGTGAATATATGTTACTTATAGAGCTCTCTTGGTTGAGATTTTGGCTTCTACCAAGCTCCATAAGGAGTCCTGGTGTGGCTCTGTAGGATAAGCACTGGACTACAAGGGTTGAACCGCAAGTGTGGCGGTTCAAACTCACCAGCCTTTCTTTGGAAACCCTGTGTTGGATTGCTATCAGTCAGAACCAACTCAACACTTAGCAAAAACAATAACTATTAAATAGCCATCCATGTATTATTTACCTATTATTAATTACCAGTAGTTATTACCGGTACATAAATAACATTTGAAAGGAAAGGAAGAAGTACATCATATGGCATATCTGTTTTTTTCCACAGGTTGGCCCTAACAATGTTCATGTGGCTCTTTCCTTGGTTGAATATAAACCAGAACTTCAGAAAGCCATGGAGTTTGTTTTTGGAACAACATTAGTTTGTGACAATATGGATAATGCTAAAAAAGTGGCCTTTGATAAAAGGATAATGACTCGAACAGTGACACTAGGAGGTGATGTATTTGATCCCCATGGGACATTGAGTGGCGGTAAGTTTTACATTATTTTGTACTCAAAATTCTGTGAGGTAAATAGGATAGACAATTTGTTTTCACATTAAACAGGGCATATTGGGGTTAAAATGAATTAACAGTTATATTCCTAGATCAGGACCAGAGCCCAGGCTTTGATTTACAGCCTAATTCTGTGTATAAAAACCAAAGTTAGTACCACCAAGTTGATTCCCACATATAGTGACTCTGGATAGGGTTTCCGAGGCTGTAAATCTTTACAGAACCGGAAGCCTCCTTTTTCTCTCATGAGACAATGGATGGGCTTGAACTGCCAAACTTGTGGTTAGCAGACCAGAGCTTATCCTACATTGCCACCAAGCTTTCTTAATTCTTTAAACACACAGTGTTTAAAGGCCACATTTGTAAAGCCTTAATTTAAATCTGAGAATTGAGTTACCTTTTGAATATGTACTTAGTAATATTGAGAAATAATACAATGATTTAGGCCTCACTGAGTTCATAGTCTGTCTCAAGTTAGTCTATTCCTGTTTGTTTATTCTCTTACGGTTTTTCTATCAGAATATTCTAATTATTGGAAAACAAAGTCATTTTATTACATACATTTTTTAACTTCTCTTTCAGGAAGCATTAATCTCTAATATGTGTACATACCACTGCTGGTAATGTTACTGACAAAAGTAAAAATTTAAATCTGTCCTTATGCTGATACCTTAACAGAGGAATTCTTAGATGATGATCATAATCTTTTTAGGTGTGCCACATTGAGACTCCAGTTCTGTGTTAATATGATAGTGTATTATCAAACACTGGATGGTGCTTAAGTTTGCACCAGGCAGTGTTCTAAAATGTTGTCCAGAATAGTAGCCACTATCCACAGGTAGCGCTATACATTTTAATTTAATTAGTTAATATTAAATAAAAAAATAAAATTTCCTCAGTGCAGTAGCCATATTTCAAGTCTTTAATAACCACAAACGGTTGTTGAATAATTGGACAATACAGATTGATGAAACCCTGTTTTATTTAAAGCCTTTGTGTAATTAGTTCATTTAATCCTCACTACATGTTTTATAAGGTAGGCACGTTATACCTTCTCCCTTATCGATTGTCTCAACTATCCGACATTTCACAGTTATGACAATAAGTAAAAATCAACCCTGACTATTCTGTGTTTCGACAGCTTGCATGTGGCAGTAATGAGTGCCTGGGTGCAAGGTGAAAGTGTCACTGCTTGTGATAGTTTATGTGTCATCGTGGCTGGGCTGTGGGTCTCAGTTGTTTGCAGTTATGTAATAAAGATACACTCATCCTCCATTTGGTGGTTTGACATCACTGTTCTCCCATTTTTGCATAATGCCATTTCCCCCATAACAACCTGGTCTTTGGAAATGAACCACGTCTATAAGTAAGAAGTGGTATACTACCCTTCTCAGTATACAGTTACATAAACTAAGTTACAAAACTGGTAAGTGACCAAGCTCTGAATTAATACGGTCTGGTTTCAGAGTTTATTCTCATATCAAGTTGATATTGCCTCTTGAGCTATCAAATGATTTGATGTCTTTCTAGACCAGAAAATTTTAGTCAAATGAATTCATAGTGATCGAGTTCCTTGGTGTACAATCAGATAACTAGTATCTAGAATTAGAATATAAGAAGAGGCCAAATATTTTAAAAATAAGCCTAAATAGGATGGACCCAGTAAGCACGGACAGTGAATACTTCAAATAAATAATTCAATACATGTGTAGTTTCATGAGCTGAATGTAAAGATTTTGCTGATGAAGATTCCAGTCTAACGTTGTGTATGTAATCATTCAGTACTCAAGGCCTGTTTCAATTTGTCTCTGTCAGGTGCTCGATCTCAGGCAGCTTCTATTCTAACCAAATCTCAGGAACTAAAAGATGTTCAAAGTGAACTGAAAATCAAGGAGAATGAGTTACATGCCCTAGAAAAGGAATTAGCAGGTCTTAAAAACGTTGCTGAAAAGTAAGAAATCTATCGGATTTTATTATGTTTTATTTATTTTATTCAGTGATTTGCACGGTAGAAAATGAAAAAAAAAGTTTTACTTATGGAAATGCAACTTCTAATTTAAAAAAATATCCTTGGTCTTATTTTACATATTTTATGAAGTATGAGTTGATAACTTATTTATCAGTTATTTTTCTGTTTTCATGATTATAAAAGTATATTTGTTACACGGAATTGTTGTTGTTGTTAGGTGCCATTGAGTCAACACTGACTCATAGTAACCCTATGAACAACAGAATGAAGTACTGTGCGGTCCTGGCCCAACCTCACAATCATTGCTACACCTGAGCCCAGTGTTCCAATCCTTCTTGTTGGGGCCTTCCTCTTTTTATCCAGCCCTCCTCTTCACCAAACATGGTGTCCTTCTCCAGGGATTAATCCCTCCTGATAATATGTTTGAAGTATGAGAAACAAAGTCTGGCCATCCTGGCTTCCAAGGAGCATTCTGACTGTACTTCTAACAACACAGATCTGTTTGTTCTTTTGGTAGTCCATAGTACTTTTAACATTCTCCTCCAACACTTTGTCAATTCATATGAAGCATATCAATTCTGCTATGTCCTCCATATTTACTGTCCAACCTTCAGATGCATGTGATGCTACTGAAAATAACATGGATTGAGTCAAGTGTACTTTTATTCCTTAAATTAACAACTTTGCTCTTCAACACTTTAAAGAGGTCTTATGCAGCAGATTTGCCCAGTGTCATACGTCATTTGATTTCTTGACTGCTACTTCCATGAGTGTTAATGGTTGATCTCAGCAAAATGAAGTCTTTGACAGTTTCAATCTTTTTCCATTTATATGGATGCTGTTAATTGGTCCAGTGAAGGGGGGTTTTTGTTTTCTTACATAGAGTTGCAACTCACCAAAGGCTTTGGTCTTTGATCTTCAGTATTTTAAATCCTCTCAGATGTCATCAAGCAAGGTTGTAGCATCTGCATATCAAAGGTTAATGAGAACTTCTTTAATCCTGATGCCATGCTTTTTCTTCATGTAATCCAGCTTCTCAGATTATTTGCTCAACATACAGATTGAATAAGTATGATGAAAGAATACAGCCCTGGTGCACACCTTGCCTAATTTTAAACCATTCGGTGTTCCCTTGTGTGGTTCTGCCTCTTGGTCTGTGTACAGGTTTCTCATAAGCACAATTAAGTGTTCCGGAATACTCATTCTCTGCAATGTTGTCCGTAGGTTGTTATGAGCCATAAAATTGAAAACCTTTGCGTAGTCAGTAAAGCACAGGTAAACATCTTTCTGGTATTCTCTGCTTGCTTTTTTCCAAGATCCATCTGATGTCAGCAATAATAGTCCTTATTCTATATCCTCTTCTGAATCCAGCTTTACCCTTTGAAAGTTATTTGTCATTGTGTGTTTGCAGTTGTTTTTATATTATCTTTAGTAAAACCTTACACACCTGGGGTAGCAATGATATTGTCCGATGACTTTCGCAATCCATTGGGTCCCCTCTCTTTGGAATGGGCACAAGTACGGATCTCTCCCAGGTAGTTGTGTTCCAAATTTCTTGGCATAGATGAATGAGTGCCTCCAGTACAACATCAGTTTGCTGAAAAATTTCAATTTGTATGCCATCTATTCCCAGCGCACTATTCTTTGCCAGTGTCTTCAATGTACATTGGACTTCTTAACTTCAGGATCATTGATGCTTGATCATATGATACCTCTTGAAATGGTTGAACATCCACCATTTCTTTTGGTGTGTTGTTGTTAAGTGCCATCGAGGCAATTCTGACCCATAGTGACCCTGTAGAGGGTTTCCAAGGAGCAGCTGGTGAGCTTGAACCACCGACCTTGAAGTTCAAATGACTTTGCAGTCTGACGCATTAGCCCACAGTGCCACACCAGGACTCCATATATTCCTTCCAACTTTTTTGATGCTTTCTGTATCATTCAATATTTTGCCCATAGAATCCTTCAATACTGCAAGTTGAGGCTTGAATTTTTTCTTCAGTTCCCTCAGCTTGAGAAATACTCAGCGTGTTCTTCCCTTTTGGTTTTCTATCTCCAGGTCTTTGCACATTTCATTATAATATTTGACTTTGTCTTCTTAACTTTTTGAAATTTTCCTGTCACCGCTTGTAACTCATTCTTCCATTTGCTTTAGCATCTCTACACTGGAGAGCAAGTTTCAGAATCTCATTTGACATTCATTTTGGTCTTTTCCTTTTTTCTTGTCGTCTTAATAACCAGATGCCCCTTGGAAACCCTATACGGGTCGCTGAGTCAGAACTGACTCAACAGCACTTAGCAACAACAACTGAACAATAAAAATTTTATAAAACAAAAAAGCCAAATGTTCCATCTACCTTACTGAAATATTTAGTTCAAATACAATACAATACAGCATTGATGGTCAGCATTATGGTTGTCCATCAAACACACCTGGTGTCCTAAGGAGGAACTCATGCAAGAAAGTTACTGTTAAAAATACAGGTATATGTGTGAACCTCTCAGTACTTTTTCTGTTTGGATATAATATAGGTATAAGCAGATTTATGTTTTGTTTTTTGTTTTTTTCAAAATTGGGATCATGCTATTTAATACCTTTTTTTTTCCCAAAAATTTATCCACGCTGCAGATCTTGAATGCCTTCTACATGCCAACTGATGTTTTAGAAAATATGATTATAGTAGTGGACCAAGCAGATAAAATATTACCAGATATTAACCAAATCTTTCTATGGTTGGTTTTGTGCCATCGAGGTGGTTCAAACTCATAGTGACCCCATTTAGGGTTTCTGAGGCTGTAAATCTTTACAGGAACCTCTTTCTTCCATAGCCCAGCTCGTAATCCACTATACTACCAGGGCTCCTGAAATCTTCATATAGTTGGGGAAAATAGACAATGAAAAAAGACGAATTGCTAAAACATATGCTTGTTAGATAGTATTAAGCCAAAGCAAATAAAACAGATGGGGTGTGAGCTATCCAGGGTAAAAAGGTGTTGATATCTTAGATTCAGAGAAATTCTCCCTGAGATTATTAACTATTTAGTGAACATCTGAACAATGTGGATGAAATGGGTATGTGGTTATTGTTGTTAAGTGCTAACTCACTGACCCTGTGTAGGATTTCTTAGGAGCGGCTAGTGGGTTTGAACTATCGATAATTGCTGTCCAAACTGACATTGCTGTCCAGTGCATTATCCTGTAGCCCAACACCAGGACTCCAGGGTATATGATATAAGAGACATGAAATCTCACTTGGCTTTAAGAACTTCCGAAGTATAAATATTGTTGCTTTTGTTGTTGTTAGTGGTCGGCTACAACTCATAGACAACCAAATGAAACTGCCCAGTCCTGCACCATCCTCACAATTGTTGTTATGCTTGAGCCCATTGCTGCTGCCACAGTGTCATTCCATCTCATTTGGTGGTCTTCCTCTTTTTTTCTGACCCTCTACTTTACCAAGCATGACGTCCTTCGCCAAGGACTGGTCCCTCCTGATAACATGTAAGAAGTGTGAGAGACGTCTTGCCATCCTGGCTTCTAAGGATCACTGTACTTCTTCAAAGACAGATTTGTGTGTTCTTCTGGTGGTCCATGGTGCTTTTAATATCTTTCTCCATTGCCATGATCCAAATGCATGAATTCTTCCACAGTCTTACTATATCGTTGTCCAACTTTGCCATGCATATGAGGCTACTGAAAATACTGTGGCTTGGGTCAAGCAAACTTTAGTCTTCAAATTGATCTCTACTCTTTAATACTTTAAAAAGGTTTTTTTTCCCAACAGATTTGATTTTTTTGTAAGTCCTCTTCCAGCACGCAAGGTTGTATCATCTGCATATTGCAGGTTGTTGATAAGTCTTCCTCCAGTTGTAATGTCACTTTCTTCAGATAATCAAACATGCAATCAAGATGCATTGATAATTATTGTTTGTTGATTATAAAACAACATAAAAGACAGCTATACACATGGATCTAACCAGGTGGAATACATGGAAATCCAATTGACTGCTTCTGTGGGAAGGGGTGGAAAAGCTCAACATCAAGAGCTAAAACAAGGCCAATGGCTAACTGTAGAATCTGCCCTCTACCAGTTCAGGCTAAAGGTAATGGAAATTAATGCGAGTCCACAAGAGCAAAAATATGACCTTGGAAATATCCCACCTGAATTCAGAGACCATCTCAAGAACAGATGTGATGCATTAGGCACTAATGACCATAGACCATAAGAGCTATGGGATGACATCAAGATCATTCTACAGGAAGAAAGCAAGAGTTCATTAAAAATACAGGAAAGAAAATGATCAAATAGATGTCACAAGATACTTTGAAACATGCTTTCCAGTGTAGAGATAAATCCAGTAGAAGAAATGAGGAAGTAAAAGAGCTGAACAGAAAATTTCAAAGTATAGCTTGAGAAGAGAAAGTGAAGTATTATAATGAAATGTGCACAGAGCTTGAGTTAGAAAACCTATAGGAAAAACACTCAACATTTCTCAAGCTGAAAGAACTTGCAATATAGGATTCTATGGGGAAATATTTAATAATGCAGAAGGTATCAAAAGAAGATGTCACTGTGCCAAAAATAAATGGTCGATGTTCAACCATTTAAAGAGGTAGCACTGAAGGTATTGTTGAAAAACACAAGCTCCAGGAATTGATAAATTGATATCTTTCAACAAACTGATGCAGCACTCCATAAGTGTGAAATTTGGAAGACAGGAACTTGGCCAACCATTTAGAAGCGATCCCTAAGTGTGCCCACTCCAAAGAGGTCACCCAACAGAATGTAGAAACCATCAAAGAGTATCATTAATCTCTCAGAATGCAAGTAAAATTTTTGATGAAGATTATTCAAAGATGTTTGCAATAGTACATCATCAGTGAACTGCCAGAGACAATCCGGATTCAGAACAGGATGTGGAACTTGGGATATCAGTGCTGATATTACATGGATTTTGACTGAAAGCAAGGAATACCAGAAAGATGTTTACTTGTGCTTTATTGGATATGCAAAGTATACATGTTACAAACTTATAAAATATATTATTTAAAATTATTTAAACTATATTTAGGGAAACCTATTTGTGCAAATGAGTCCTGGTGTGGCGCAGTGGGTTAATGTACTGCAAAGTAGGTTTGAACCACAAGGTTGGTGGTTCAAGCTCACGAGGCACTCCTCAGAAACTCTATTCAGGGAAGTTATGGGTCAGAACTGACTTGACAGCTTCTAACAACATTTATTTAAAGAGTGCTTTTTAGATTTTTATAAAATTAACACAGTTTTATCAGTGTTTATTCAGGATCTGGGCCATTTAGAGTTTTTAACTTAGTTGACCAAATGTAACTCGAATTTCAGTCCTTAGAAATATGACATGAAAATCATCACAACTATATTTTTGAAGTGCATTTAATTAATAACCTATAGTGTGAAGTTTAATTAAAAGCCTATAGATAAGAGTGTGATGACTCTTCAGGATAAGCACTGGACTGTGAAGTACAAGGTTAGCAATTTGAGCCCACTAGCTTCTTTCTCTATAGGAGAAAGGTGAAGCTTTCTGCTCCCACAAAGATTTACAGCCTCAGAAATCCTATATAGTGTCGCAGTGTCAAAACTGACTCAATGGCACTTAACAACAACAGCAGTTTGAATGCATGTCTCAAACACTAGAAACATAATCATTTATGATAAACTTCTTTTTTTTAAGGTATCGCCAACTAAAACAGCAGTGGGAGATGAAAACTGAGGAGGCAGATTTATTACAAACCAAGCTCCAGCAAAGCTCATATCATAAGCAGCAAGAAGAATTAGATGCCCTTAAAAAAATCATTGGTAAGATAAAAACATTCTGTGCTTGCTCTGTTTCTACTGACACTTGATCTTCAGGTTTTTAAATGGTGTGGCACTGTGGGTTAATGCGCCAGACTGCAAAGCCGTTTGAACTGCAAGGTCGGTGGTTCAAGCTCACCAGCTGCTCCTTGGAAACACTATTATACAGGGTCACTATGGGTCAGAACTGACTCTACGGCACTTAACAACAACAACATGTTGTTTTTCAGGTTCATGTGGGAATTTTTTTTTTCTCCAATCTGGTGGTTATGATAAGAAATACTACGTGAACCTTGTATCTCAAATTTTCTTGTTTGCTGTTGAAATGTGGCATCTGTTTTGTATGTTCATAGGTCCTTTGAGTTTTCACTTCTGGTATTTTTTGTTCGTGTACTTTCCCATTTTTCTATTGAGTTTCTAGTGTTTTTTTCCCATTATTATCATATTTAAGAGTTCTTATCTGTTAGCTTATGTGTGATGCAAATGTCTTTATTGTCTTTTAGAGTCCTAGAGTGCAACTGTAGGATAAGCACTGGACTGTTAACCTAAAGGTTGGCGGTTCAAAACCCACTAGCTGCTCCTCAGAGACCTTACAAAGTTGCTATGAGTCAGAACTGATGCGATGGCACTTCACAGCAATTATCTTTGAACTTTTTAGTGTTTTTATTATACAGATGATTTTAATGTTTAATATTATTAAATTTATAATTAATTCATCTCTAATGGAGTCCTGGTGTGGCGCTGTGGACTAATGCGTCAGACTGCAAAGTTGTTTGAACTGCAAGGTCGATGGTTCAAACTCACCCGCTGCTCCTTGGAAACCCTATATAGGGTCGCTATGGACCAGATTGACTCAACGGCACTTAACAATAACAATGTTACAAAGCTATTTTACTTTTTAATCAGAATTAATTATGTATGGAAATTTTTGTTTTTGCGCTTCTCTGGGACAACATCCCATATTTATTTCTTTAATATTTTTATTCTGCTATAAAAAGTAGTTTAGCCAATTGTGCAGATATGACATCCAGCATTATGTGTGATGCAGATCTTGCCAATGAATGCCGCTTGTGATAGCCACATGTCCATTATATCTTAGTTTTGGATTTCTTTCTCTTTTTTTTTCCTATAAATCTGGGGACATCTAGAAATGTTTTCTTCATATTCCTCTCCATTACATATAAATATTCTTGAGTATTTTTTTATAAGTAGACAAGGAACATAAAGTAAACTTGTTTGTGAAATTAATTGTATATTTTTCTGGCACCCTAAATAAAGGGACTATATTATGATTTATGCTTTCAGTATTAGTTTTAAGAAACACACATGTTTGCAAGATGGAAGAGTTGTAATCTTTTTAGTAAGAGGCTTCAAAACCTTTCGAAAGTAGGAAAGTTATATAGTACCAAGCACATACAATTACAAATCATTGTTTTGCAGAGCTTTAGGTAATTCATGTAAGGTCTTTTAGGTAAAATCTGTATTTCAGCATACAACTTTTAGAATAAGTTTTAGAATAAATTTGTTAAAATTCTAGCTTGTACATTTTTAGACCATTTCTTCTATTAAAATTTGAATTTATAAGCTATTATCTATAACTGCTAGTGAAGAACTATTTTCGTCACATTTGCTTACTTAATGTTACAGAGGAAAGTGAGAATACTTTAAAAAACACCAAGGAAATTCAAAAGAAAGCAGAAGAAAAGTATGAAGTACTGGAGAATAAAATGAAAAATGCAGAAGCTGAAAGAGAGAGAGAACTGAAGGATGCACAGAAAAAACTAGATTGTGCCAAAACAAAGGCAGATGCTTCTAACAAAAAAATGAAAGAAAAGCAACAGGTAAAGTACCTTTCTTGAAATAGAGACTGTCTTAAAACTCCATAAAGGAAAAGGACTGCGTGTGGTAGAACATCTCTGCTCAGTCTTACTTATCAGTATTCAATGCTATGTCTAAAAGCTAAATGTACTTTTTAAGGAAATACATTAAGCATCTTAAAAATCAAGTAAATTGTTTCATGTAGTACCTATAATTTAGTGTCACGTTGTATGTATAGGTTACATTGACTTCGTTAATTTATGGAAAGTTCAGTTACTTTCAGCAAGACAAATTATTCTTCAACTGTAGTAGTTTGGTATTCACTTATTATATCTTTTGGGATAGCATCACAGCTAGGATTTAAACCCGGACTTTTCTTTCTCTGAAGGCTGTGTTCTTAATCACTGTTCTATAAAATTATGCTTAAATATGCTTTTCCTCTTTTTTTAATAATAATTTATTTAACTTTTGCTGCTGTCAAGAATTGCATGAGTAGTTTATTTTAGAAAGATCAGCATGAGGGTGGTCCCTATGATGTGGAGGTGAAAGATGCCTAGATGTGCCACCTTTCTAGAATGTTATGCCACTCATCCAATCCTCAAGTCCCAAACTCCTGCAACAAGCTGTAATGTCCCACAGAACTCAAAACTGCCAAGAAAATGATTCAGAACTGTAGAAACTGGCAAGTGCCAAATCTGTCCTTCAGTGATCAGTGTGGAGAATTCTCCTAACCCACCTCATCTTAGGAACTGAGGAACTCAAATTTGCAAATAAGCTGACAAGCTGTTGATACACATCCAAACAAAGGAACTAAATCCCACACGGTGTTAGGTTATACAGTTTCAGCTGCTACCCTATGATTTAATTACAAACTAGCTGGGCAGAGTATTTTCTAATGGACTAAAGACTATAATGGAAAGGAAGAAAGTCGAGATTCTTTTGCATGTAGAATAATTATGGTTAAAGAAAGGAATGCTTAACTCCAAATTCAAAAGAATTGGTCACTGTTCAACCATTTTAAGTGGTAGCATATGATAAAGAACCATTTTTTTTTTTTTGAGGCAGGTGAGGTCCACGTTATAATTGTCATTTATGATGTTGAATAAAAGTATTTGCAATGAATAAGTCATTGGTCTTGCAAAATCCTGTCATGCAACCTCTAGCATCATTTCTACCACTACCTCCAAGGCAGTATTTTCCAACTACTGACTTTTCCTTTTTGTTTCTAAGTGTCACTTTCCAATAACCAGTAATTATCAATGCATCCTAATTGCATATGTCTTCAATTTCAGATTGAATAAGTTGGTAGAATTCTGCAGTTTCATCATCTTAGCAAACTAGATGTCGTAAGAAGAATGGATATACCAGCACACTTAGTTCTCATGAGGAACCTTTACATAGACCAAAGAGGCAGTCGTTTGAACAGAACAAGGAGATACTGGCTGGTTTGAAATCAGGAAAGGTGTGCATCAGAGTTGTGTCCTTTCACTATACTTATTCAGCCTTTATACTGAGTAAATAATCCTAAAAGTTGAATTATCTAAAGAATGTGATAATCAGGTTTGGAGAAGAATCAGTAATAACCTTTAGTATGCAAATGATACAACTTTGCTTGCTGAAAATAAAGAAGATTTGAAATTCTTACTCATGAAGATTAAAGAATACAGCAGCCTTCAGTATAGATTGAACCTTAATATAAAAACAAAGTCCTCGCAATAGAACCAATAAATAACATCATGATAAATTGAGAAAAGATGGAAGTTGTTAAAGACTTCTTTTTGCTTGGATCCACAATCACTGTTCATGAATGCAACAGTCAGAAGGTCAAACAAGGTATCTCATTACACAAATCTACCTCTTTGCTCTTTGACATCAGAGCAAAGATGTCACTTTGAGGGCTAAGTTATGTCTGAGTCAAGCCCTGGTATTTTCAGTTATCTTGTATATGTGTCAAAGATAGACAGTGAATAAGAAAGACCATAGAAGACTTGATGTGTTTGGATTCTGGTGGTGAAGAATATAAAATTACCATGGACTGCCAGAACAAGGAACAATCTTTCTTGGAAGAAGTAAAGCCAGAATGCTCCAAAGAAACAAGGATGGTGAGACTTTGTGTTTTAGACATGTTGTCAGGAGTGACCACATGTTGTCAGGAGGGTTGGTGAAAAACAGCAAGACCCCCAATAAGATGACTTGGCAGTGGACTCAAATATAACAACAGCTTTGAGGATGGACAGGACCGGCTGTTGTGCGTAGGAACGCTTTAAGTCAGAGTCATTCAAAGAAAAAATTCAAAATAGCATCTTATCTCTTGTTTCATATGTAGTTGTGGCAAGTGCCGTGGAGTCGGTACAGTTCTGTTTTTGTTCCATCTAGGAAACCTGGGGTAGCGCTGTAAGATAAGCACTGGACACTAACCATGAGGCTAGTGGTTCTAACCCACCAGCCGCTACTTGGAAACCCTATACAGAATCGCTGTGAGTGGGAACCTACTCAGCGGAACTTAACATCAACATAGGAATGAAAAGATAAAGGAAATAACGTACACAAAATGCTTTGAATGTATAAAATAAACAAGTTTGTTGGACAGCTGAGTAGTAAATAGGTTGTGGGTCTTATCTGCATGAGGATTTTATGAATCGTAATGGACGTGTATGTATTTATTCTTAGTAGTTAATAATACAGAGATACTGTGTTTGTTACAGGAATGTGAAGCTATCACTCTAGAGCTGGAAGAGCTCAAGAGAGAGCAAGCATCCTGTAAACAACAGCTTGAAGCTGTGAATGAAGCTATCAAATCCTATGAAGATCAAATTGAAGTCATGGCAGCTGAAGTGGCTAAAAATAAGGTAAGATTTACTTAGGAAATTGGAGAAGTTATGAATGGTAACCAGTTTATAAAATGTTGACTTGAAGATACTTGATTTTAGTGCTCTTAATCTCTTAATTCCTCTTGTGATAAGAGTCTGATAACAAAAGTAATAACTGATTCAGAACAAGTCCTGAAATAATATTATTATTAATAGTTTAGTGTTGGTTTACTCCAGAGACAACTACACTGTAACTTGAAAACATGACATAATAATAAACAGTTTTTATTTATAATGGTGGTGGTGGTGTGCCGTGGAGTCGGTTCTGACTCATAGTGACCCTGCATAGGGTTTCCAAGGCTGGAAATTTTTATGGCTAATAGTTTCCAACTGCTGACTTTGAGGTTAGCAGCCAGACTCCTAACCACTACACTACCAGAGCTCCTTTAGTTTGGAATAATGGAGGATTATAAAGAATACAGCAATATTATATACAGGGTATAACCATTACCTCTATCGCTAAGGTAGTACACTCAAGGAGTATATCTGGAAGAGAATGCACACTTCCTAATTGATCCATGATCCTATCTGGTGTGGCGCTGTGGGATAATGCACTGGCCTGAATGGTCAGTTTGAACCGCAAGATTGGTGGTTCAAATTCACCAGCTGCTCCTCAGAAAATCTGCATGAGTCTGAACCAACTTGACAGCACTTAACAACAACACACTGTACCCAGAGCCTGATATGTCGTTGTAAGATAAGCACTGGACTGCTAACTGCAAGGTCTGTCTCTCAAACCCTCCAGCCACTTCTCAGAAACCCAATACAGGGTTGCTGTGAGACAGTTGAATCCATAGCACTTAACAACAGCACACGTTATCTAGCATAGACACTGTACCCATTCCTACTTTCTGTGTGTGTAAATCATTAGTCATCTTAATGGGGATAAACAGTGTAGAGTGTTAGGTGAGTATCTACCTATAAACAGACTGTCATCTATCAGGCAGAAATCACAAGGCTGTCCTTTAATATAGAGTGTCTTACTTACCTTACTACTTTTCTAATTCTATATTTTAGGAGTCAGTAAATAAAGCTCAAGAAGAGGTGACGAGGCAAAAAGAAGTGATAACAGCCCAGGATAATGTCATTAAAGCAAAATATGCAGAAGTGGCAAAGCATAAAGAAGAAAACAATGATTCTCAGCTTAAAATTAAGGAATTAGACCACAACATTAGCAAGCATAAACGAGAAGCTGAAGATGCTGCTGCAAAGGCACGTTTGAATTGTACACTTTTATTTAATCAGCAAATGTTTTGTATTCCAGGTCTTGAACTGCTCTGGTAAGCTGCTCAGTAAGAACTCAGTATATTGTAAACTTACTGCCTACTATAATTTGGAGGGTAGAGACGACTTCCAGCCATCTGAACTGCTTTTTGTCACAAATGCTTCTGTATCTATACCCATCTACAAAATGTGTTTACCAAATACTTAGTGGTTTATCATGAAAATGACTCATTTTTTCCCTCCCCATATTCATCGAACGAATATTTTCCAAAGTTCAATTATATTACTAAAAATAACATACATTTTAATTTTATTTCAAGTTAAATTTAAAGAACTCACAGAAATAGAAGTTAAATCAACTCCTAAATAAAGGATTTAGTTGGCTCTTTAGTATTCTTAACAAGGGCTATAACTGTTTTTGTAGTTTTATCTGAAATCAGGTATTTTAGCATTCTTTGTATCCTTTTGTGTTTTGGTAACTCTTAAAATTTCTCCCTTTCATTTATCACGGTAGCTTTTCTTCAGTTTTTAAAGAGAACACGTGCTTTTGCAGAAATTTATTTCTTGGTTGCAAGGATGTATCTGTCAGATCTTAATTTTACCTGTCATAGACTTTTTTTATGAATGTGTGACATTTCTGTGCATGTTTAATAAATACAAGATATTAACTTTTTTAAGAAATCAAGAACATATAAAGCAGTCTGCCTATCCTCTAAAAAGAACAATGTACAGGGAGGGTGGGCTTAAAAAAATATGTGGAAAAATTACATTATATTTTAATTCAATTTTCCACAAAGTTTTTGAAGCCTGTAATTAGTCTATTGTAGCTTATTACTTGAAAAAATTTTTGGCTACAATATTATATGTCACTTTATTACTACCATTGATTTCTCATTGGTGGTAGTGAATTCATTGAGGTCTTGCCATTGTCAATTGAACTGCTAACCATTTTCCCATAATTAAAAATGTAAGTACTGGTAATCGCTAGAAGAGTTTACATAAAATTGCAGATGTTTAAATAAAGGGACTTAATGCCTAAAATTCTTTGAAATATGTTTATCGCATACCTGCAGTTATTAATCATAGTGGTTACGAGTCAATCTGCTAGCCTTAACATCAGCAGTTCGAAACTACCAGTCATTCCACAGGAGAAAGATGAGGCTTTCTGCTCCTGTACAGATTTACAGCCTCGGAAACCCTCTATAGGGTCTCTATGAGTCGGAACCAACTCCATGGCATGCCATGAACACCACCACAGTTGTTAAATGCCATTGAGTTGGTTCTGACTCATCGTAACCCTGTATAAAATTTCCAAGGCTGCATATCTTTGCAGGAGCAAAAATCCTCATCTTTCTCCTCCAGAGCAACTGGTAGACTTGAACTGTCAACCTTGTGGTTCACAACCTAGTGCTTATCTTCTAGAGCCACTGCTGTCCTGCATACTTACTAGTATCAGATACTATGTTAGTACTAAATATTAGAATAGGAGCCCTGGTGTGATGCTGTAGAATAAGCACTAGATGGCTAATTGAAAGGTTGCAGTTCAAACCAACCAGCTGCTCCTTGGAAACCACCCTATACAAGGTTGCTGTGAGTTGGAACTGACTCGGCAATTAACAACAACTATTATAAGAATGAAGGAGCTCTGGTAGCATAGTGGTTACAAATCAGACTGCTATTCTCAGGGTCAGCAGTTCGAAATTACCAGCTGTTCCGAGGGAGAAAGATGAGGCTTTCTGCTCCTGTACAGATTTACAGCCTCAGAAACCCTGTACAGGGTCGCTATGAGTCGGAACCGACTCCACGGCACAAAACATAAGAATGAGCACCACGTACATAGAATACCCGGTAGACTATGTTGTTGCTAAATGCTGTGGAGTCAGTTCCAACTCATAGCCCTCAGGAACTTAGTATGAAGAATTTAAAGAAAATGGAAAACTGCATTACTAAGAGGAACAAGGTGAGGAAAATTGTGCAAAGGAATTTTTTCCCATCACAGCAATGCACCTGCTCATTCTTGGAGAGTTGCCAAGGCTGTCCAATAAGATTTTTGTTGAAAAACCTTTCCCATCTACCCTACATCCTTTATCTTGCTCCTTCAAACTTCTTTTTGTTCCCCAAACTCAAAGAACACTGAAAAGAAACACAGTATGGGTCCCTCAAGGCCACTAAAGCTACCATTTTAGCATGGTATTAAATCAAAGAGCTCCGAATGTTTTAGAGAAGGGTTAGAAAGATGGAAATGCAGCATTCAGAATTGTGTAGTCCTAGATGAAGAATGCGTTGAGAAACTACAGCTACACATTTTGATATTTTACTTAATTAAGGTTTCTAGGATTTTGTAGCGATACTTTTTGACTTACCTTCATATACCTAGATGTGGAATGCGTCATTCTTATCTGTAGTTGCCAGTTTGTTCCACAACAGCTGTACCATTTTACATCCCCATTGTTGTTGTTGTTAAGTGCCATCGAGTCGGTTCCGACCCATAGCGACCCTGTACAGGGTTTCCGAGGGTATAAATCTTTACGGGAGTAGAAAGCCTCATCTTTCTCCCGCGGAGCGGCTGGTAGTTTTGAACAGCTGACCTTAAGGTTCGCAGCCCGATTCGTAACCACTACGCATTAGCAATGGATTATTCCAGTATCTCCATTTCTACTCCAATACATTATTTTTCTTTTTTTTCTTTTATATTAGCCATCCTAGTGCTCTGGTAGCGTAGTGATTACGAATCTGGCTGCTAACCTCAAGGTCAGCAGTTCGAAACTACCAGCTGTTCCACAGGAGAAAGTTGAGGCTTTCTGCTCCCGTAAAGATGTGTAGCCTCAGAAACCCTGTACAGGGTCATTATGAGTCGGAACTGACTCCACGGCACATAACAACAACACTGTACTAGCAAAGGAGCTCTGGTAGCGTAGTGGTTATGAATCCGGCTGCTAACCTCAAGGTCGGCAGTTTGGAACTACCAGCTGTTCCACGGGAGAAAGATGAGGCTTTCTGCTCCCGAAAAGATTTGCAGTCTCAGACTCCCTGTGCAGGGTCACTATGACTTGAAACCGACTCCATGGTACTTAACAACAAGTGTGAGTGAAATGGTATTTATTTGCTTGTTCCATCCATTTTGAGTTCAATTTTGTTTATGGCATAAGGTATGGATCTTAATTCTGTTTGTTTTGTTTTGTTTTTTTGCATTGGAAATCCAGTGTTCCAGAACAGTTTGTGAAGAGATTGTTCCATCCACATTGAATGAATTTGGGTCCCGTGTCGAAATTGACCCTAGATGTTTAGATTTGGTGGGGGTGCTTCATTTCTGTTCCATTTGTTTGTGCATATCCCTCATTAAACTACTATCAGTTTTGATTATTGTAGTTATGTATTATGTTTGAAGGCTCCTCGTGTGACACTGTAGAATCACAGTCCAGTGCTGCAAACAGTGATGCTGTTGGAAGCACTGGAATGCAAACAAGGTCAACAGTTGAAACCCACCAGCTGCTCCTTGGAAGCCCTATACAGAGTTGCTGTGAGTTGAAACTGACTCTACAGCATTTAACAACAATATGTTTTGAAGTCAGAAAGTGAGAGGCCTCCTACATTGGTCTTTAAAATTGCTTTGGCTGTGTGGCTCTCTTGCCTTCCCTTGTAATAATGCAGATTAGTTCGTCCATTTCCATGAAGAATATTGTTGAAATATTAGGATTGCATTGTGTCTGTAGATGGCTTTGGGTAGAATTGGCATCTTAATTGTATTTAGTCTTCCAGTTCATGAGCATAGAATGTCTTCCCATCTGTTTAGGTCTTCATTCATCTCTCTCAGCAGTGGTTTATAATTTCTATTGTATAATATTTTTACATCCCTGGAGAAATTTATTCCTAGATGTTTTGTTCTCTTAGATACTTTTATGAATAGAGTTGTTTTCTTAATATCCTTTTCAGATTTCTCATTGTTAGTGTATAGAAAACCTGATTTTCATATGTTGACTGAGTGTTCTACAACTTTCCTAAATTTCTCTATTCTAGAAACTTTTTGTAGGTTCTTTCGAATTATATATATACATATATGATTATATATAATTACTGTTTTTTTGAGCCTATGCTTGTTTAAAAAAAATTATCCTATTCCTATTGATTGTTGTTGTTAGATGCCATCGAGTCGGTACCGACCCATAGTGACGTTATGCACAGCAGAACAAAACACTGCCTGATCCTGTGCCAACCTCACTATTGTTGCCACGCTTGAGTCCATCGATGCTGCCACTTGGCCAATCCATTTCATTGGGCGTCTTCCTCTTTTCTCTGACCCTCCACCTTACCAAACATGATATCCTTCTCCAGCAACTGCTCCCTCCTGACAATATGTCCAAATTATGAGAGACGAAGTCTGGTCATCTTGGCCTCCAAGGAGCACTCTGGCTGCACTTCTTCCAAAACGGATCTATTGGTTCTTTTTGCAGCCCATGGCACTTCAATATTCTCCTCCAACACCATAATTCAAAGGCATCAATTCTTGTACAGTTTTCCTTATTCACTGTCCAGCTTTCGCATGCATATGAGGTTATTGAAAATATCACAGCTTGGATTAGGTGTACCGTAGTCCTCAAGCTGACGTCTTTACTCTTCAACACCTTAAAAAGGACTTGTGCAGCAGATTTGCTTAATGCAATACGTGATTTGATTTCTTGACTGATGCTTCCATGAGTGTTGATAGTTGATCCAAGAAGAATGAAGTCCTTGACAACTTCAGTCTTTTCTTCATTGATAAGAATGTTGTTTATTGGTCCAGTGGTGATAGTGACACTCATTTTTAAGAAACATAAATTATTGTAGAGTTCTCTACCACCCTAGTATTTTAAGTTGACAAATATTTAATAAACTGGCTTATAAATGTAAGTTTAAGTCAATCATAGATCCTACTATTTTCATGTGTGTTTAGGTATCCAAAATGTTGAAAGATTATGACTGGATTAATGCAGAGAAACACCTTTTTGGCCAACCCAATAGTGCCTATGATTTCAAAACTAACAACCCAAAAGAAGCTGGCCAAAGACTTCATAAGTTACAAGAAATGAAGGAGAAGCTGGGAAGAAATGTCAATATGAGAGCCATGAATGTACTGACAGAAGCAGAAGAGAGGGTAAGTCCATTTCCCGTTAATATTTGGCCACTTTGAGACACAGGTGGCACTCGTGACTCTATGTGATCCCTGCGGCAATTAGGAGTCAACTTTTGCATAATGTCCTTAGTGCGTGTTTGCTTTCCTTTTTTCTTTTTTTGATTTCTTGCTTTTTTGTATTCTGGCTTTTGTTTTTTGGGTGTGTTTTTTTTTGTCAGCTGTTTGTATATTCTGTACATAGCAGAATTTTTCCACTGCATTTTCATATTTGTCATAAGCATGATGTCTTCCTTCTTGATGTTATTTTTTAAAAAATTACTTTTGACCCTGTTCACTCACTGCTCACATTTCTATCATTTCCTTTACTTACCTTGTAAAGAGCTTGAAAAACAAGCTTTACTGCTGTCTGCCACCTTCCTAGTCACTTAATAGCTGCTGTCTTCCTTTTGTCTCTCCTGTATACTGAAACCATAAAGTAATGTCTAGTGTGGACCGCAAGGTTGGCGGTTCAAACTCACCAGCTGCTCTTCAGAATCGACTCGACAGGACTTAACATTAACAACAGCAAAACTCTCTTATAAATAATAATAATCACTGTTTTATTAATCAGTTAATCTAGCAGCATCTTCTCAGTTTTAATGACCTCACTCAGTAATGAGAAAACTTGCATAGTCTAAGAAGATTTTCATGTCATCTAATGTTGAATTTTGAAGGCCATGTTACTTAAAAAAAAAAAAAAAAAAAAAAAACAGAAAATGAAAGCAGTTCCAGGTGCTGTGGTTAATGCTCTGAAGCAAAGTCAGGTTGAACCTCAAGGTCACTGGTTCTTGCTCACCATCCGCTCCTTGGACACCCTTTACAGTGCCATGATTGGACTTGATGGCACTTAATAACAACCACCCCTGAAGGCCATATTAGAAATAGCAACCTTGTTGTTGTTAGGTGCCATCGAGTGAGTTCCGACCCATAGCGACCCTGTATAGAGTTTACGAGGAGCAGTTGGTGAGCCTAAACTGCCGACCTTGCATTCAAACAGCTTTTCAGTGTGGCGCATTAACCCATAGCACCACACCAGCAACCTTAGTAATCTTAAGACACATTTCTTTAATTCTGTAACATTTATTTTGAATTTGTATATTACAATAGAGCTAATAAGAGAGCTGGAGCCCTGGTGTGGCATTGTGTGTAAACATGTTGGACTGCAAAGTCAGTGTGAAGTATAAGGTTGGTGGTTGAAGCTCACCAGCCACTTCCTGAAAACCCTGTATAGAGTCACTGTGGGTTTGAACCTATTCGACTGCACCTTACAGCAACAACAATCAGAAAGCTACATGACTAACTACTTACAGGCTTAGTTACTTTAAGAAATTTTTCTGTAACAGCTTATTTTGTAGCTGTCACTGATACTAGTATCTTCAAAGAATCTCGATGATATCAGTTACTAAAACGGCATACTGATGTGGTGCTGTGAGATAAAGCAGTCAACAACAAAGTCATTTGGAACCACAAACTCACCAGCTGCTCTTTGGAAATCCTATACAAGACACTTAGCAACAACAACAAACAGGCTAACAATGCAGATGTTCTGATGTCTAAAATGCTGCTCCTGGTTTTCATTTCTGTATTAAAACTGCAACATACGTGGCATATTTATGGGGAAAAGTCTTTAGATTGAATTTAAGATGCATGACATTAGTTGTTTGCTTTTATTAAATAATGATGACAACCTAATATTTTAAAAACAGTTTTTACTAACTCCCATCTTTTTCCAGATTAAAAGAATCTATTGTTGGTTAGCAAATGGTCTTTTGCTTTTGTTGTGTATTTATTTGAGGTATACAAGGAATAGGATTTCAAAAAACGTATTTTAAAAAATGAAAAGGAATTTTGAGGAGTTTGTCAATAAAACAGGGACAGTAAGGAAGATAGTATAGCTGACTGGAGTTTTTAAGAAAGAATCGGAGCCTCCTTGACACGAGAAGCTGTGTAAAGTTTTCCTGTTCATGGTAAGTTATTCCTCTGTGGTTGCCTTTCCAAAGTTTTCAGTAAATTTCTACGTTACACAGCAGAAGGCCATTCTGAACAGTCATGTTTGGGCTAAGCCTTGAGTAATGAAACACCAGTTAGGTCAGATATGGAGGAGAAGCAATCCAGAAAGAGAGCAGTGCCTGCTAGGCTTATAAAAGAATGAGGCTATTACATTCAAGGAACAGAAACCAGAGTAAGGGAGGAATCTGATAAGATAATGTCAGAAAGATAAATAAGCTTCAAATGATGTATGATCTTACACATCGTGGTGAAGAATTGGAATTTTATTCATGTGTCAGTGCTGAGACTTGACAAGACAGGGCTACTTTTACATGGATTTAAATAAGGCACATTTTCCTTTTTGCTTTTGTTATTAGGAACATAAAAGGATAATAGTGGAGTCAAGGTATTTCATGGCCTTGTAATATTACAGTTGTTGTTGTTAAGTGCCGTTGAGTCGGTTCCAACCCATAGCGACACAGAACAGGGTTTCCGAGGCTGTAAATCTTTACGGGAGCAGAAAGCCTCATCTTTCTCCCGTGGAGCAGCTGGTAGTTTTGAACTGCTGACCTTGTGGTTTGCAGCCCGATTCGTAACCACTATGCTACTAGAGCTCCTTTAATTGAATTTAATATATTGATCTTACTCATAAGCTTGGTTTTCATTACAACTTGGGGCTTTATGTCTTTTTGGTAAATATGAAGGTGTATATTATTTATAAAAAGAAAACTATGATTGAATTCTAGAATATAAATAAAATTTTATATTTTCTTAATAAAGTATACTTTTCAATCTTAATAGTATAATGACTTGATGAAGAAGAAGAGAATTGTAGAAAATGATAAATCCAAAATCCTTGCAACTATAGAAGACCTTGACCAGAAGAAAAACCAAGCTCTTAATATTGCATGGCAAAAGGTATTTGAACCCCAAATGTTTTAATTTATTCTACATGGAATATGTCACAGTTACTTAGGTCAGCTGTTGTGCTAGCAGCCCTAGACAATAAATGAATGAGAATGTCCAGGTTTGTCCCATGGACTATGATTCGCTGACCATTTGCTCTCCCCTGGGTTTAGAGTGTAATAATAGACAACAAAATGCACCTGCTGAATTACATGTACACTTACCAGCATTTATTTCTTTTTGGAACTTGTTTTGATGTTTTAATGTATTTTACCCAGGTGAACAAGGACTTTGGGTCTATTTTTTCTACTCTTTTGCCTGGAGCTAATGCTATGCTTGCGCCACCAGAGGGGCAAACTGTTTTGGATGGTCTAGAGTTCAAGGTTGCCTTGGGAAATACTTGGAAAGAAAACCTAACTGAACTTAGTGGTGGTCAGAGGTGAGTAATCTCTTTTCGAAATAGTGATTCTTCATTCATCTTGTTTTATTATAAGCCTTGCTCTCACTACCTCCCAATTTTATTTCAGTTTTGCTATGCATAGCTTTCTTTGCATGTAGAATTTGAAGTAGTCTAGTACATTTTGGTAGCAACATTCCATTAAATAGTAGGCAACAGAGGAGAAACAAGAAAAATAACAAGAAAACTTGGACACCTGTTTCACTTATTGGAAAATAAGTATTCTAGAATAATGAGACCCAAGAGAAAGAAACCCAAAGTATTGAGCTTTGTGTTCACCTGGACTTTCTGCCAAGGGAAATTTCTGGACTACAAATGCAGTAAGGGGAACCTAATCAGAACCTAAAAGTGCTGCTAAAATAAAGAGGCAGAGATTAGAATTTGGAGAGGCTCAAACGTGTTGTACCTCAGTATTTAAAGTCTGTATTATTCCTCAAGTGAAGACTTTTTTGGCACACCCTAACAAATTTAATAAGCTTTAAAGGGATCAAGATGATCTGCATTTAATTTGTCAGTTAAAAAACCCAACACAATAACATAATCACAGTCTCCAGCATCTAATGAAAGTTACTAGATAAAAATAAAGAAAGTGTGGCTTTAAACCAGAGGGGAAATAAAAATTAGTTAATAAAACACCCAGATGACAAGTGATGAAATTAGCAAACAGGATGTTAAAGAGCTGCATTAGCTATTTTCAGGTATTTAACAGAAGATAAGAATATAAGAGAAATGAAGCCTAATAAATAATCAAGTGGAACATCTAGAAATGGAAATTTTCATTATCCTGAAATGAATAATTTACTGCCTGAGATTATTAGCACATTGTGGTTAAGTGACATTTAGTTGGGTCTGGCTCAACGGGACCTTTATGTATGTTTTCAAGGTGCAGTTTGAACTACCAGCCTTGTGATTAACAGTCCAGTGCTTATCCTACAGCCCCACACCAGGACTCCAATAACTGATTAGACATTGCCAAAGAAAATGAGTGAACATTAAGATAGAGTAGAATCTATTCATGCTAAATAAAAAATAAAAATGAACAGATTCAGTGACCTCTGGGACAATATCAAGCAATCTGATATACAGGGAATTGGCGTTCCATAAGAAGGACAGATAATGCAGAAAGATATCTGAAGAAATGATTTATTTCCAGAATTCCTGAGTACTGTTGGCCCAAGCAGGATACATAAATGTGCACACAATAACACCAGGGTATGTTGTGTGCCAGCGGGTCAGTGCCAACTCATAGTGACTCTATAGGGTTTCCAGGAGCAGCTGTCAGGTTTGAACTGCCAACCTTGCAGTTACCTTTCCAATGCTTAATTTACAGTACGATACCAGGGCTCTATAATAAGGCATATCATATAAAATTGCTGAAAACATTGACTAGGAGAAAATCTTGAAAGCAACCAGAAGAAAAGGACAAGTATAACATGGAAATAGTATGTTTATGAGAGATTTAAAAATTTTTGTCTTCCATTACTGGTTTTTCAAAGATTTTATAATACAGTCTGTTGAGGCAAAATTTAATTTTTTTTTTTAAGATTAAGATTTCTGATTATTTGAATGGAAAGAAGACTATAAATCTGTTTCATTCAAAAATAACTCATTGAAGATAGAGAAAATCAAAGCTAAAGTAAAAAAAAAAAAGCATTACTAAAACAAGTGTTGAACTTCGGATCTTACGTTTCTTTTTATGACTGTCTTTCATCTGTTCACAATAAAATACTAACAAGATAGCAGAATTGTTTCATTGTGTTGGTAAAAGACTTTTCTTACACGGACTCCTTTTTTTTAGGTCTTTGGTGGCATTGTCATTAATACTGTCCATGCTCCTCTTCAAGCCTGCTCCAATTTATATCCTGGATGAGGTAGATGCAGCCTTGGACCTTTCTCATACCCAGAATATTGGACAAATGCTACGTACTCATTTCACACATTCTCAGGTAAGAACCAGGATCTATGTCTCAGTGGTTGGTGGTGTTTATGTGCCACCAGGTCATTTCCAACTCGTAGTGACCCAGTGTAGGGTTTCTTGGGCTATAGTTCTCTACAGGAGCAGAAAGCCTCCGCTTTCTCCTGCAGAGCAAGTGGTAGAATTTGAACAAGTGACCTTGCAGTTGGCATTCTAGCTCATAATCACCTGTGCTACCAGGGTTCCTCATATGCCTCAGTTGTTTTTAAGTGTCATCAAGTTGGTTCCGACTCATAGCAACCCTGCATAGGGTTTCCCAAGGAATGATAGTGAATTTGAACCTTGTAGTTCAAATTTACCTTGCAGTCCAGTGCGTTAGTCCACAGCGCCACAAAGGACTCCATGTCTCAGTAGTTTATAATTTATGGTATTTGCTTTTTCTAAAACTATTCTTTGGTGGTGGTGGTCATGTGCCGTGGAGTCAGTTCCAACTCATAGTGACCCTGTACAGGACTTCCGAGGCTGTAAATCTTTATGGGAGCAGAAAGCCTCATCTTACTCCTGCAGAACAGCTGGTAGTTTCAAACTGCTGACCGTGAGATTAGCACCCCAATTTGTAACCACTAACTAGTCTGTTAATAAGATATTTTGGATTATAGCATATTAAAACTATTGTATTCCTGTTACATGTATGCATACTTACATTCAAATTGGTGTAGCAGGAAAGCAAGTTTGGTCTTTGACGAAAGAACTAGGCATTAAAATTGTTGATGATACAAGGAAGAATCCAACTTTGTCATAATTTGGAATTCAGTACTAGTAAACGAAATTATTTTCTCTAACTAGCTGCCAAAAAGATACACGATAAATTCAAGACTATTTCAGGGATGTACTTTGATGTCAGAAAATAATGTACATAAGGAAAGTTTAATTTCTTCTGTCTACAAAAAGTGGAGAAAAATCCCTTGAAATAGTTTGTTTTGGTTGCTCTGTGAAGTAGAAACTGGGGCTGCCAAATATGTTTGTATGTTGTTAGGTGCCATCGAGTCGGTACGGACTGACAGTGACCCTGTGCACAACAGAAGGAAACACTGCCCCGTCCTGGGCCAACCTCACAATTGTTGCCACGTTTGAGCCCATTGATGCTGCCACTTTGCCAGTCCATCTCATTGGGGGTCTTCCTCTTTTCCTCTGACCGTCCACCTTACCAAACATGATTTCCTTCTCCAGCAACTGGTCTTTCCTGACAGTATGTCCAAAGTGTGAGGTTATGCATTATACAATTCTGAGGTCTTCATTTATCATATTTCTCAAAAATTGTATCTTTATTTTGAGAGTTCTTGAGCAGATAACAGTCGAGTGGCCCCTTTTCTTAAGCATACAAAAGGAAGGTGAGCGGTGCCATAGGAACTTGAAAAGTCTTTCCCTTTAGCAGTTAGAGAGCTAGCAGCAGCACTGATTGCCAGCTGGGGGAGAGAGCAATATGCAGTCAGCCAGCAGACAGTAGAAAACTTGGCTAATCACTCACTCCCCGTGAATTAAGAGTCTCTTAAAGCCTAATACTATGGAGCCCTGAGGTGGGACTGTAGGATAAGCACTAGACTACAAGGTCAGTTTGAACCACAAGGTCGGCAGTTCAAACTCACCAGCCACTCCTTGGAAACCCTATACAGGGTTGTTATGAGTTAGACCCAACAGCGTTTAACAACAACAAAAGCCAGTGCTTGGGTGGCGCTATAGAATAAGCAGTGGACCACAAGGCAGTTTTGAATGAGATTCGTAGTTCACACCCAACAGCTGAGCCTAGGAAACCCTGTACAGGAGCAGGAGCGCTAGGAGTCGGAATTGACTCAATGGCAGCACTTCCCAACAACAACAACACCTAGTATGGAAAGGTAAGATTTCCTGAGTGGTTCATATAGTTTATACACTCAGCAGCTAGTTCAAGCTTGGTAATTCATGTTGACCCTTAAACACCTCGGAAGAAAGGACTGATGATTTATTTCTGAAAAATTAGCCAATGAAATCCTATGAAGTACATGGTGGTGGTGATTTTGAAAGATAGCTCTATGTTGCTTTCATTTGAGAATATCCATCTGCTTATAGTCAAACATTTAAAGAAAATCAGAATGAACTCTGATCACTTTGTAGCCCCAATAAATAGGCGTGAACTTTTTCAAAGATATTACAAAAAGTCATTTTAATTGTTTTTGTTTTTCTTTTAAGTTCATTGTAGTGTCTCTAAAAGAAGGTATGTTCAACAATGCAAACGTTCTTTTCAAAACCAAGTTTGTGGATGGTGTTTCTACAGTTTCCAGATTTACTCAGTGCCAAAATGGGAAGATTCCAAAAGAAACAAAATCCAAGTCAAAAGGACCCAAGTGATCAGCTGCAGAAGTTTCAAGTACAGATTTACTCCTCCATCTTAACATGTTTTTTCAACATCAGCTTTTAAGAACTTGGACTTTATCTAATTTGTTAATGTAAAAATTTAATGTTATTTTTTCCCAAAACCCATATTTTCAAGGTATTCTCTTACTTTATACAGTCATTCATAAATAAGCAGAGTCCTTAGTTAATGTAACTGTCATTTAATTAGTGTGATTTTATGCATATCATTAAATTTTTTTCTTTTATGTGTTTTTTGCATAGTAGAGAGCCTGAAATACTTGATTAGTGGCAAATTCTGTATGTAAGAGCAAGAATACAAAGAAACAGATGAAATGAAATTATAGAATAAATGAAACTGGTAGTGGTTTTGATTAGTTTTTTAACTCCTAGGGCAAGATTAGTGTGTTTTCTATTGCTAATAAAGTCATTTAAGTAAGAGAGCATTTCAATGCTCTTAGTAGCTACACCCACAAAGGGAACACAGAAAGAAAGCGATTAAGCAGGCACTAAGCTTAATTGAGGCCAATCCTTGAAGACAGAATGCCAGTTCCCTGGTGCAAATGTTGGAAAGCACATGCTGAAAGTTTCTGCTCCTTTTACTGATGTTTGGATATCATGTCTATATGCTTAATGATTGGTTTCTGCACCTTAAGTGTTCTTTATTATTATTGTTTACGTTTCCTTATGAGTGTTTTAAGAAAAACTCGGGAGAAAGTATGCTTCATACTGCTCTAACTCAGTTCATCTGAAATCTGGTATTTTCAAAGTAGACTTTGGTCAGCCTTTTTATACGTTCAGACAAAACAATGTATTGGTAAATCAGAATTAGGAAGCAGTAGACAAGATCAAATCTTCTCTTGCTTTCCTTATATATGATTCCATCAGTTCTACCAAAAGATCTCCAAAGTTCAATGAGCATTATAATGTATAGTGTCTTCTGATACTTTCCAGTTCAATAGGATAAAGATCTAGAAAATGGAGCTTAGACAGCGTCTTAATACTTAGGACAATTTTTAGTATCTCAAGACACATCACCAGAATAGTGTCTTCAAATTCTGTATCTTGGAATCTCTGACCTGATGTAGTCTGATCGTGGGTTTTTTATTTTGCCCCTAAACCTTCTTGATCCATGAATCTGAGTTACCTTGTATTATTTTTATTCTGTCCCTGATTAATAGTTGTACTTCCTGACCCAGGGTTTGTCATATTTTGTCATTCATTTGCTATATCTAATGATGTCATATAACACCTGGGTAGATGATGTCATGGGACACATTGGAAAGTAATGAATCTGAAGTTAGTTCTGTCTTCTGTGGAAAGAGGGACGCAAAATTGTAAATACAGTTACAGGAAATTCAGTATCACAGATAATGGACATAAGAAAAAGTTTGTTTCCTTTTGAATGTCTTGCAAATTATTTTCCAAAAGAGTTGTATCAATTCACACTGGCACCAATAAAGTATTTTATACTAGTTTGGCCATAACCTTGAAGGCACTGCTGTTATTTTTTCTGGTGTAAGTGTTATTAAATGCTACTCCATTACCATTTTAACTAACACTTAAAAAATAACTAGTGTGTTGAACATTTTGCCTTCCTCTGCTATAATTTATCTAATATACTATCTTGCTCTAATGCAAATTCTTAAACATATATTGAAGTTTTGTGAGTAACATTATTCTCTGATTAGATGAAAGACATTATTTCATACATCTACAATAATATGAATAACTAGCATTTATTCTTATATCAGATATTGTACTCACTTGCATGTATTTTCAAGTTTAATCGCATAATCAATGAAATCAGTACTGTTACTATCAACATTACGTAATTGAGGAAACCAAATTAATTAAAGAATTTGAGAAGCTTGCCCACAATGATAATACAGTTACTGTGTGGCAGAGCCAATATATAGATCTTGGCAGTTAAGCGCCAGAATATATAATATACTACCTCTGATAGCTTTAATATTTGCATTTATTGTACAAAACAAATTTTAGAGATAAACATGTTTGAGCATATAAGTCGTATACACAATGAAAATTATCTTCAGGAATAAACCATTTTATTGATCTTAGATGTTCATTTATTTTATTGATCTTTCTAAGAACCACCTTTTAGGTTTCATTGACTTTATTGGAGTTTTTGTTTATTTCCAGTTTTATTGATTTCATCTTCTATTGAGTTTGCTTTGTCATTTTCTAATTTCTTATTATAGAAACTTCCCCACATGTCTATCAGGCTGTTAACTTTGGTGATTTGTGTGTTGCTGTGTGATAACTGGAAGCTGTGTCACTGATGTTCAAATACAATCAGGGTCATCCATGGCAGACAGGTGTCAGTGGAGCTTTCAGACTAAAACACACTAGGAAAAAGGAATTGTTAGTGCTAGTTGTTACTGTCCTTCTCCAGGGACTGAGATGTCTGAAATGTGATGTGTGTGTTCTTCTGGCAACCCCGGGTACTTTCAGTAATCTCCAGTACTATAACTCAAATAAATCAGTTCTTTTATGGTGTTCCTTATTCGTTGTCCATGCGTATGAGGCTATTGAAAATACCATGACTTGTAAGTATATTGCATGGGGTGGGGATAGTCTCTTCAACAGATGGTGCTGGCAGAACTGGAAAGCAATATGCAAATGATTGAACCAAGACCTTTACCTCGTGCCTTATATAAAAACCAACTCAGAGGATTAAAGACCTAAATGTGACTCCCAAAATTATAAAGGTCATCAATGAAAAAATAGGGACAAATGTGAAGGTTCTAATACAGGGCACACACAGACCACCAAACATTTTGAAAATTGCACAAATGTAGACAAAATAGATGATTAGGACATACTAAAAATTAAAAGCTTATGTGCATCCAAAGACTTCACCAAAACAGTAAAATGGGAGCCCACAGAATGGGAAAAAATTTTTTACAACGACGCATCAGACAAGGGACTCATTTCTAAAATATATAGGAAACTATAATACCTTGACAAGAAAAAGACAAAACAACTCAATTAATAAAACGGGCACAGGACATGAACAGACACTTCACCAAGGAGGAGATCTGGGCAGTCAACAACCGTGAAATGTTCACGATCAGTAGCCATTAGAGAGATGCAAACCAAAACAAAAATGAGATATCATCTCACACTAGCAATAGCAGCAAAGATCAGAAAAAGTAGAGGACACCCCCTTCCAAGACTAAGACTCAATGGAAATGCACGCTCTGATTGGTGACCACACACATCACCAATGGGGGGAAGTGGGGTAAAAGCAGCAATGAAGCAGCAAGCTAAGCCCTACAATGTTCAGTAGACTTCTGTGGACCCAGTTGGGGACCTGGTTGGCAAGCAGTGTGAGGAGACCTGGGGACTCTTGGGTCCAGAGTCAGTGGCATGGCCACGGAGGACTCGAGAGGAGAGTGGAACTACCAGTTGACGGGAAGAGAGGGCATATACACAGGAGTGCCCACACTTGCAGATGATACCCACGTGACCTGGACCGGATGACTGGATGATCGGAGCTCAACCAGGAGAGGAAAGAAGAGGGGAAAAAAAATAATAAAAAAGAATAAGCTGATACAATCTGATGAATTTGACCTATACCTATGGAGCAGCAACTCAAAAGAAGGAACAAATACAGCAAGAAACATTCCCACCCCCTCCACACACAGAGTGGACGGAGATGGGCAACTTGGACATTGGATACCCAAATGGGGAGGGAGTGGACTACAAAGGCAAGAAGTGACTGGTTTACAAGCCTTCAAGAGGGAACCTAATGCTAGGGAGCATGGAGGAAGGCAGTATCTCCAGTGGGTACTACTCAATCTGTCTGGGTGGAGCTGATGAAAGGAAATACAGATAGGTAACTCGTGATACTGTAGTGAATAATGTTTATCAGGACGGATTGTGAGAGTTGGAAATGCAAAGGAAGACCTTTTGTAACAAGGAAGGGAGTGATTAATTCTCCAGGCTAGGAGCGGAGGTCTCTGGGACCATCAATGGAGAAGAGCCGAGAGCGGAACCCTACCCAGAGAAACAGATGTCTGAGATAGAGACAGAGATGACGACGTGGAGTGATGAAGCGGCTGGGGACTTTGGACCCAGAGAGGGAAAGGGACTGTGGGCTAAAAATGGGGGGCGGGGGAGGGGGAAGTGTAGGGGGTGGGTTTCTAGGATATACCCTTTGGTTGGTTGATGATGCATGGAGGGGTTTGGAACCATGGCAATGAGATGATATACAATGGAATGAATATAAGACTAAGGTTCTCCCATGTAAACTATCATATAATTCACAATAAAACATTTAAAAAAAGAAAACAGTAGAGGACAATAAGTGCTGGTGAGGATGCGGAGAGACTGGGACCCTCCTACATTTCTGGAGGGATTGCAAAATGGTCCAACCACTCTGGAAAACAATATTGCACTTCCTCAGACAGTTGAAAGTAGAAATACCTTATGATCCAGCAATTCCTCTACTTGGTATTTACCCACAAGAATTAGGAACTATAATACGAGTAGATATATGTACACCAGTGTTCATAGCAGCACTATTTACAATAGCAAAAAGGTGGAGACAAGTTAAGTGCCCATCAATGGAAGAGTGGATAAACAACTTTGGTACATATACACAATGGAATATTATGCTACCTAGAAGAATTAACAAGGAAGCTGCAAGCCATCACATAACATGGATGAACCTTGAGGACACTATGCTGAGTGAAATTACTCAAAAGGAGAAATACTGATAGGATAATTGTAAAAATTTAACAAAACGTACCCTTACTAAAAGGGGAGAAAATGTTTATTTTTCTGGTTAATAGGGTGTATGGGGTGGGATGAGGGGATGGAGGAAAATGTGGAGCACAGTAAAAAGAGACACAAGATTGGGTGCTGGGGAGGGGAGCAGTACACAAGGGGCAGGAGAATGGAAGAGCAAGGTAGATGGGAAAACAATTAGGTTTGCATGGGCTAAGCGAGACAAGGGTAAATAATGATGT